ATATTTGTCAGCCTCTGCGGTTTACAACCAGTGTAATCCCAGGGACTTTGTATAATTACATTTACAGCAGAACTGGGCCCAGCATGTCTGTGCTGGCGTTTTTCTCCATAACCTAATCACACTCCCCTGCTCACTTCCATACTCTTTAATAATTGTCTTTAGCTACCTAATGTAATTTATCTTTGGAATAATTTATGAACTGTTTCACCAATGGCTTGTGACAGAAAATTCTACATGCTCTAATTTCACCTCTGTGAAAGGATTTTTTTCTCTGACATCCCCTTTAATTTCTTTTGTGGTTACCTTACAATTTGTGCCTTCTCATTGCTGACTCACCGACCAGCGGAAATCATATCCAAGAATCTTTCCCCTGTTGTAACCCTTCATGATAATGAAGACCTCTGTTGGATCACACCTTGACAAATGCTTTATCCCTGAAACGTCCTGATTTTGTAGTATTTCCTGCTAACTTTTACACACTGCATAAAATGTTGGCCGGCTGTTGGTCAAAATCTATCGCCAGAAACATCATCCAACTCGCAGGCAAACTGCAGAATGTGCCATTGATGAGTGAACCTTCATCCATCACAGATGCAGTGAACTCTTTACTGACAGTGAGGAGATCAAATGATACACATAGAAGCATCACTGGACAATAATAATAACAATCCTTGCATTTGGTGTAGCGCCTTATCACGTTGTTGAGATGTCTCAAAGCACTTCACAGGATGTACTCTAAAGTAGGTTGACTGTGAATTCTGTGGGCGAAACATGGCAGCCAATTGCACACAGCGGTGTCCCACAAACAGTGAGTGATCAAATTCTTTTTTTTTGGAGGAGTTATTACCCCCGGAAAGGCAGGCGTTCATCCATTTTGCCCACAGTCTCCCTCTAGCTGGCAAAAGTTGTAAACATCTGCTCCAGATTCGCTGGAGTGAGAACAGAGTCTCTCTTACACATTTCTCCATTCTGCACAGTAGGTATTGGTAATTGTGAGTTCCTCAGTGGTAAACCTGAGTCCATTTTACCAGAGTTGCTGCCGTCGCTGGAGGCAGGCGAGCCCCTCACGAGAGTTGTGAACCCAGCTCACTCTGGATTACGCAAGCGACATACATGACTTCTGTTTGGTCGCCTTCTACTTGGCACACTTGGGAAACAAGAAGAGAAGGGGTCCATGGCATACACTCTGTGTTGCAGATTAATCCCAATCAGTTTTGCTGTACAACTGGCACCAGGTTGAGTAATTCTTGGCCTCCTTGGATCAGTAAATGGGAATCTGAAGCCCTGAATAATTAATCGTGGTGACAATTCGCTGTGTGTAAATTGGTTTACGCATTCACTTACAAATGCAGTAACTATACTTCACAATAAATACAGTGACGCAAAGCAAACTTTGAGCAGTCCTGACAACATGACAAAGGTTCTGTATCAAATGCAAGGATTATTATTAAGAGTAAGGTAGGAGCCTAGCCATGGGATGGGAGAAGAATCTCCTTTGAAGAGTGAATAACTTTGCTGTTCAGAGAATAAAATGAATAACTAGGGCTTCAGCTCACAGGGTTGAAGGCATGTCTGCTCTTCCAAGACTGCCTGGCAGTAATAATAATAATCCTTGCATAGATTAAGGATGGCGTGAGTGACCAATTTTATTTGGGGATTGTTGACCAGATCACCAGGAGAAACTCCCTTTTCTTTTTGAATAGCGCTGTGGGATCTTTACTGTCCACTTGGACAGGCAGTCAAGAACTCGGCTTAACGTCTCATCCGAAGGTCGGCACCTTTTACGGTGTCAGCACTGCACTGAAGTCCGTTGTATTTCTACAGACCTGTCTGGCACATCTCCTTGTGGCCAGTTCAGTTCATTGACAACCTGATCACCCATGTCCCCCCACCAGGAGGATATTTGTTGATGTAGTATGTATTTTGCCTACTCAAAGGGGCTGAGTGGACCCACCAAGATTCCAAGGACATCCTGGTCCCAAGTCAATGATGATCTGATCTCCCATTCCCCCTCCACCCATCACCAGTTGGACTGAGTGAGCTGTGGATTGCGGGCCGTGTGATGACTGTATGAATGAGAGGAAGAGGCTGGTAATTGTGTCCTTGGTGCTGACACTGCGTGCGTGACTTTTTTTTGCAGACTACAGAGTGGTTCGGGCAATTCGTAACTGTCCAGCGATCCGGAGGCTGGTGTACATTTCCTGTAAACCAGATGGAGAAGCCATGAGAAACTATGTTGAGTAAGTATTGCTGACAAGTACCTTGAGAGTACTCACAGTACACCTGAAATCTGCCATATTTTGCAAACTGCTTTAAGCTGTTCATTCTTCACGATAAACAGTGTAGAAGTGTAAATTTGTTGTTAAACTTATCCAAGAAATTAAACAGCGAGAGAGACTCTCAGATATTGTCTTTTGAATCAAAGGGCAGTTATTCGGATTCAGGATAAACTTTGATAGAATTTTTTTTGGTTGAACACTACAATCTGTCGTAGTGATAGCTATAAATTAGCAAATGTCTGACTGCTTTAAGCTTACAACCTCATTGGAACTTCTCAATCACATACATGTACATGTGAGTACTCTCAAGGTACTTGTCAGCAATACTTACTCAACAAAGTTCCTCATGGCTTCTACCCACACAGCCTGACTGTCCCTTCAGTAATGAATAACTAATCAAGTTTGCTCTTCCTTTCAGACTGCGTTGCCCACCTGACCAACATAAGGTACGGGGATCCCTTTACTCTCAAACTATCTGTACTGATGGACATGTTCCCACACACCACTCACTGCGAGCTTGTGCTACTATCGGAATGATAATTCACCAAGACAGTCTGTGACTGTTTACTGGGATGATAAACCTGGATCTGTCAAACAAGGACTGGCTGATGTAGGTGATGCTAACTGAAGCATACCTCACTGCACATCATGAAGCATAATTCGATTCCCTAGTGTTTCAGTATCGATCATGTTATGGAATGGATAAAAGAACCACAATAAAACCTCAGCATTTTTTAAAAGCATTCTGTTCCTTCAAACCTGTTTTTTTCCTAAAAGATCACCTCAATTATTTTATCTAATAAAATATTTTTCACATTTTCTGGCTATTGCCAGCTCTGGTGGTGGTGGGCAGAAGAGTGGGGGGTGGTCCATATTTCCGTTAGCAATTGCTGGTGCTTTTCCTGGTGATAACTGAGGTGTACAAATGTTTGTCTGGATGGAAAGCTTCTCGTTCCACCTCTAACATTCTAAATCCAATCTTGTGTAGAATATGTGGGCCAAAAGATGGCCTTTTCGGTAATACACTCCCTAGGACCCAGGTTCAAATCAAGTCATTGGTTCAAAATCTCACTGTGAGTTATTTTGGGATGTTACAATGTGATAAGGCATGAAATAATATGTAAATACTATTCGGAAACCTAGTTAACCATCAGATATTAAGGTAGGGGCATCTTCTAAGTAAGAAGTGCTTTCATTATACATGCAAGTAATAATGATAATCCTTTCATTTGATTTAGCACCTTTCAAAGCATTTCATAGGATTTAATGTGAAGTGTAATGACTGTATTTTTGTCAACAAAACCTGTGATGTAAGACGATAGAGAAGGTGCAAGTTTGGGGTCAGTCACTGTAATATTTGGCCATGAAAGGGCCAAGCAGTAACTTATTTATCCCAGCATTGCTCTCTTGGCACTTGAAACAAACAACAAAGTGACATTTGTATAGCATGTTTCACGTCGGAAGGACCTCCCAAGGCGCTGGACAGACCGTGTTTCGGATCCGAGCTGGGAGTCGGGATCGGGGAGGGTGGAGGGCGGGGGGGGAACGAGGGTGATCGGTAGCGCGGTTGAAGAGGAGGGTCTTGAGATGGGTCTTGAAGGAGGCGAGAGAGGGGGCGAGGAGGGACTGCGGGATGGAGATCCAGAGGGTCGGGGCAGAGTTGCAGAAGGCCCACCCGCCAAAAGTGGGGCACGTGAAGCAGGCCGAAGCCCCCCCGAGCGGAGGGAGGGAGCGAGCAGCATGGTTGGGGGGGTTAAGAAGTCGTAGAGGTCGGGGGGGAGGGGGGGGGAGCAAAGCCACGGAGGGCTTTGAAGGGCTTTGCCACTGGATTTGGTCATGTTATTCCTTCTCTCCATGCCCACTGCATCCATGTCTGCAGTCTCTCTTCCCAACCATGTCTGCAGTCTGTCTATGATTACAGTGGTGAGACATCACCTTGTTGACGAGTATCAACAAGATAATAATAATCCCTCCAAAAAAACCAAAAAACAATAATAAAAAAAAAATTGGGTCATTTTCAATCTACGACTGTTTGTGGGACATTGCTGTGCGCAATTGGCTGCCGCGTTCGCCCACAAATATACAGTCAATTCACTTTACAGTGTGTTCTGTGAAGCGCTTTGGGACGTCCTCCCGACGTGAAAAGCGCTATATCAAATGCAAGGATTATTATTATTATTATTATTATAAGGTGAGGACCAGGACCTTGAACTGTGTGATGGGAAGCCAGTGGAGTTGGACGAGGATGGGGGTGATAGGGCCGTAGAGCCTGGGGTGGGGGGAGGACGCGGGCGGCAGGGTTCTGGATGAGGGAGGAGTTGGGGCGGTCGAGGCTGGACATCATGAAGCCGTGTGTGAGGGTTCCTGCGCTCTGCGGAGCGAGACAGCTTCCCGCACACTAAACAGGTCCGGCCTGGTGGGGGCTTCCAACAACAAAAAATCAATTCAAACTCCTCTCTCTCTCACTCTCTCCCTTCTGAAGCGCTTTTCTGACACCGTTTGAAAAGCACCGACTCTGAATCAGCCTCTGGTACCAAACAAGAGATGGGGCTATTTTGGGCTATTTTTGGGCTAGCGTTGGGCGGGCGGGCGGGCGGGCTCGTGGGGCTACAAACCGGAGCTGAGCGGAGCCTGGTCACGTGCCGCCCGGCCCGCGTGCGGGTGCGGGGAAGCGCATGCGCGGGCCGGGCGCGGGCGGCGGGAAGCGCGCGAGCGACCGCGGGGAGTATGAAGCGGCGGCGAGTACCGACCCCCGGGAGCGGCAGCGGGAGCGGCAGCGCGGCTTCCCTGAGTGTCCTCCCTGTCTAAGGCAGGAACGCGACACCCGAGCCCCGGTCACGCACAAGCCCCGCCCCCCTCCCCCCGGCGCGGGCGGCGAGCAGCGGAGCGCCGTTGCCTTGGAGACGGGAGGCGGCTGCATGGGCCGCGCGGTCAGGCCTGGCACCAGCGTCACCACCGACACTCGCACCCCCTCACACACACACCGGCACCGGCAGCGTTAGCGTCAGCGGCCCTCCCCAGGCCCCGGACCGGCCCCGCCCCGCCCCGCGCCGCGCAGCCATGGGCTTGTTCGATAAGCTGGCCGGCTGGCTGGGGCTGAAGCGGCGGGAGGTGAACGTCCTGTGCCTGGGGCTGGACAACAGCGGCAAGAGCACCATCATCGACCAGCTGAAGCCTGAGCACGTGAGTGGGTGGGGGGCAGATACTGCTTTACACCGCCCCCACTCCCTCTCTATGCTCCTAACCCCCCCCCCCCATCCCCTCTCTACATCCTCTCTTCACCCCCTCTGCATCCCCGCACCCCCTCTCCCTGCCTCCATCCCCCATGACCCTCTCTCCCTTGATCCCCTACCCTTCACTTGACATCTCCCTCTCCCTCCCTTGACGACCCCCTCTGTCATCTCTTCCTGCCTCACCTCCTGTCTCTCTCTCCTCCCCCCCTGACCCTGTATCCCTCTCCACCCCCTCCCCCCAACCTGACCCTGTGTCCCTCTCCACCCCTTCCCCCCCCACCTGACCCTGTGTCCCTCTCCCCCCCCACCTGACCCTGTGTCCCTCGCCACCCTCTCCCCCCCACCTGACCCTGTGTCCCTCTCCACCCCTCCCCCCCCACCTGACCCTGTGTCCCTCTCCCCCCCCACCTGACCCTGTGTCCCTCTCCACCCTCTCCCCCCCCCACCTGACCCTGTGTCCCTCTCCACCCTTCCCCCCCACCTGACCCTGTATCTCTCTCCACCCCCTCCCCCCCACCTGACCATGTGTCCCTCTCCCCCCCCCCCCACCTGACCCTGTGTCCCTCTCCCCCCCCTTACCTGACCCTGTGTCCCTCTCCACCCCCTCTCCCCCCCCCTTACCTGACCCTGTGTCTCCATCCCCCTCTGCCTGACCCCATGGCTCTCTCTCTCCCTCCTCCTGACCCCATGTTTCTTCCCCGCCTGACCCTGTGTCTTTCCCACCTACCTGACTTTGACCCATCCGCCCCCTCTCTCCCCGCCCCATCTTCCAAACTCCGCCATTTCCAATCCCTCTCTGACAGATACTCTCTCCTAGTCTGAGCACATGTTTCCCCTGTCTTGGATTCCTCTTACCAGTCTGGGAGTTTTTCTTCTGATCTCAGATTTCTCTTTCCCTAAACGCAGCAGCTTTCGTCTGATCTCATGACAGCCTCCTCCCTCTTGTCTTTGCCATTGTTGCCTTGGGGATGCTCCACACCTGTCTGGCAACGCTTCTCAAATGTCAAGATTCTCTCTTTTCCTTTTGGGCTCAGGATCACCAAACCCCCCCCCATTTTCTCACTCCTGCGAAACTTTTTTTATCCCATGATTCTAAATTTATAATAATAATAACCCTTGCATTTGATATAGAGCTTCTCGACGTCTCAAAGCGCTTCACAGTATAGACTGTAAAGTGAATTAACCGTATATTTACAGTTTACATATTTAGGAATCGAATCCAGGTCTCTCGCTTGCAAAGCGAGTGCACTGAGCTACAGGACTCCTCCAGTTTGTTATTTATGCATTAGTGGCAAACAGGATTTGGGAGAGATTCATACATGTAACGTGGCTGACACGCTTAAGACTGAAATTTACACACTTGGAAATCGCCCTGTCTCGGAATGAAGTGAGAGTGAGCAGTCAACTTACCTCATTCTGGAGAGTATTAGGCGCAGGTTGGCAAGAACTCGGGCTTGGGGATCCCAGAGTGTGTGTTCGGGTACTGCTGGAGACTAACCAGCTAAAACTGCTGCTTGTCCACCCATTAGGCTTTGGCTTGCAGGGTTAACAGGAGTTGAATGGGAAGAATCCCAGCTCCCAGTGCCCCTCCAAATCATCTTGATAAGCTAGGCGGTCAGTCATCAGCAGAGCCCTAGAGTACACTGTATACTGTGGACCCGCTTGGCTCAGGAACCGAGACCACCACAGAGGGTTAATATATTCCAAAATTCCGTAGCCAACCAACAACGACAAATAATTACACTTGTATAGTGCCTTTCACGTCAGGAGGATGTCCCAAGGGGCTGGACAGTCAGGGATCCGCACCCGAGCTGATGGTTGGGATCAGGAGGGGTGGAGGGCGGGGACGGTAGGAGGGAGACTGAAGATACGGTCGAAGAAGAGGATCTTGAGACAGGTTTTGAAGGAAGCAAGGGGGGGGTCAAGGTGGGGGACTGGGATTGAGTTCCAGAAGGTGGGGGCAGAGAGGCTGAATGCCCGCCTGCCAATGGTGAATGGACAAGGCGGGGGACGTGAAGCAAGCCCGCTGAGTGGACAGAGCAGACAGATTAGGAGATCAGGGTTAGGAGGTCACAGGTAGGGAGGAGCAAGGCAGTGGAGTGTTTTGAAGGTGAGGAACAGGATCTTGAATTGTATCCTACTACTACTAATAATAATCACGTCTTCTAGACGTCTCAAAGCGCTTCACAGAATGTACTGTAAAGTGAATTGACTGTATATTTGTGGGCAAAATGCTGCAGCCAATTGTGCACAGCAGTGTCCCACAAACAGTCATGGATTGAAGTGATCAATTTATTATTTTTTTTCTTGAGGGATTATTATCAGGCATATGGAGTGAAGAAACTTGGCCAAGGTTTCGCCCTGCCGGGAATCGAACCCAGGTCACTCGTTTGCGAGGCGAGTGCTCTAACCACTGAGCTACAGGTCTCCACCATCATCCTCAGTGATGGGGAGCCAGTGGAGTCAGACGAGGATTGGGGTGATAGGGTCACAGAGCCTCGTGTGGGAGAAGACACGAGCTGCAGAGTTCTGGATGATCTGCAGCCTGTGGAAGGAGGAGGTGGGGAGGCCGACAAGTAGTGAGTTTGTGTAGCTTGGATGTGTTGAATGCGTGGATGAAGATCACGGTGGCCTGCAGTCAGAGAAGCTGGGCAATGTTGCAGAGGTGGGGAAAGGCACGAATGTCGGGGATGAAGGGCAGTTGAGGGTCGAACATGAAGGGTGATGTTATCAGCGCTCATGTTATGGAGGTGCTGATGGGAGCCAAGCAGAAGGGTATTGTTCACATTCAACTGAAGAAAGTTAGCTCTCATTCAGGACTTCATGTCTGACAGGCAGTCTGTGAGGACAGCAGTGATCCTGGAGTCGATGGTGGAGGCGGAGAGGTAGAGTTGGGTGTATCCGCATACATGTGGAAGTTGAGAGGGTCAAGGACAGAGCCCTGAGGGACGCCATGCGTGATGGTATGGGGACTGGAGGAGAAGCCATGAGTGAAGACGGTGGGAGAGGTAGGTTTTGAACCAGGAAAGGGCAAGCCTGTGAAGGTTGAGCTGAGAAGAGAGGCGGTGGAGAAGGACAGAATGATCAACAGTGTCGAAAGTAGCAGAGAGGTTGAGGAGGACAAGAAGGCAGAGAGAGCGCTGAGCACCGATGGACAGATAGAATGTTCTTAATCCTTTTCAACATCTACATGCTCCCCCTTGGTGACATCATCCGTAGAAATGGAGTCAACTTCCATATGTATGCGGATGACACCCACTCTACCACCTCCGCCCTTGCCTCCTCACCTTCAAAGCCCTCCACAGCCTTGCTCCTCTCTACCTCTGTGACCTCCTACGAACCTGTCTGCTCACTCTGCTCAGCAGGCTCTAGCCTGCTTCACATCCCCAGTCTTGCCCATCCCACCATTGGTGGGCGGGCCTTCAGCCTCTGCCTCTATCCTCTGGAACTCCATCCCACAGTCCTCCACCTCGCCCTCTTCCTTGCCTGGTTCAAGACTGCGTTAAGATACTTCTCCTCAACTGTGCCTTCGGTCAGCCCCTACCACTACCCTCCCCGCCCTCCACCCCTCCTGATCCCAACCACCAGCTCAGGTGCGGATCCCTAACTGTCCAACATCCTCTGACATGAAAGGCGCTATACAAAATTTGTTGTTCTCTGTCTGTCTTTCAAAGAGGAGGTCCAAGTATGATTGAGTGTTTGCCAATCTGCTAGTCTCATTTTTGAGACTTGTAGGTTAGCTTGAGAGACCTAAATTGCATGGGTGGTCCTGGTTAGATAAGTACATGTGAAACTCACTATGGTCTCCATCACATTTTGGTGTTCACTTGGCTTACTTATCAAATTTAGTATCTGATTTGTTCATTTATATGTAGGTCACATTTTTTCCAAACCAGATTTTTCCCAAATGGTTTAAGGATGGTGAACAGGATTTCAGCATGTCTTTCATCAGAGTGCAAGTGACATTTTTACCAATGGGAAATTATGCTATGCATATTTAAAAATTTCAGAAGGAAATCTCAGTGTAGTATTTCCCAAGGTTGATTAAAACTGTGATTGTGGTAAATTGTGGGGAGTAGGGAAGATATTGGGACAGTGGCTATAAGGATTCAAATGGTACAGGTTGTTTCTTTCTCCCCACTACCTCCATCCCCAGCCCAACTCTTTACGTAGGATAAAGCAGTGGTTTCATTAATCAGCAGGTGGTTAATTTAAATGGTCAGATCCAGTGTTGATGTCTCTCAGCATTAATTGGGATTAGCACAGGCTGCATTATCGGTGAACGCAGGGCTTGTTTCACTGCCAGGACTGGTATTTTCTGTGATTGAGATTCATTATGACCCATCTCGGGAGGAAGTCCTACCCTATGTAATGGGATTAGTTCACTCTCGTAGGTTATTGACCCCCGGTAACACTCACTCACCGGGATCTATAAGTACAGATCCATGTGACATTAGTGGATTGATGTTTGTTAGTTCACATGACAATCTGTTTGCTATCATCACAGTGACAAAGACATGCATCAACATGTATCACAGAGGTAGTAATTCCTTCAAAATAAATTTTACAAATAATTTGCACCTGTTTGTATGACACTGCTTTGTGCAATTGGCTGCCACATTTCGCCCACAAAATATACAGACAATTCACTTTACAGTATATTCTGTGAAGCGCTTTGCGGTGTCTCGAAGATGTGATAAGGCACTATATCAAATGCAAGGATTATTATTATTATAATTATCGATGTTGGCAGCACCCATGTGAACACAAGTGTATTATGCAGAATATGTAAATGCCCAAGTTATAGCTACCCTAATTATATAATCAACAGCCAATAAAAAGGATTGGTTGTTAATTGATAAATCCTTATTTCAAAGAGCTGCCTTACAGTAATTCTCAGACCATAAGTAAAAATAGAAAAGCTGAAAGTCCACTGCAATTTAACAGAATCTGAAAGAGAAAAAAAAGCTAAATTATGAGCCTTGATTAAAGCAAATAGCTTTGCATTTGGTAATAGCTTCTTTCATGTTGGGAGGACGCCTTAGAAGTGCTTCACAGCAGTGCACAAATGGACTGCCACATTTGCTTATAAATACAGTTATGATAGTTCACAAAAAATACTGTGGAGCACTTTGAGATGGCTTCTGACATGAAAGGCGCTATATAAAATACAAGGATTATTACTGTAAATTATAGTGACTGAACATTTCTGATGACAAAACAACTTCATAGAATTATACAGCACAGAAAGACTTATCATAGCTCAACAGAATTTCTCAACAAAACCTTTTAAATTGACCTGAATGTTTTATGCTTTTGTTTTATCAGGCGCAAACCCATGATATAGTTCCTACCATTGGATTCAGTGTGGAGAAATTCTCTACATCCAGGTACATTTTGGTTTACACATTTTTCTTGAAACATCTTCATCTTCTTTTGGTGCTGCAATCCTTTAATGTTTTGACGTCTATAGAATAAATGCCATGTCCTAAAGGTTCCGGGCGGGGAGTATGAGGAGAGGGAGAAAGGCTTTGATTGGCTTTGAGGAGACCCATTTAGCAAAGCCAGCAGTTCTGCAGTATTTCAAGGCAAGACTGCAGTACTTCAAGACTTATTTGAAGGTGTACACATGTCCTCAACGTTATAGCACTCCGGGAAATTACCCTGTGTGAGGGGCGCTATATTGCATTTGCATGTTGTTATTGTATATCCTTTAACGTTTCCTATCTAGATAAGTGGCCTCCTCTCCTGAATGATTACTATATTGTTTGGTGCTACAGCTAAGATTTAGAATGCAGTAGACAGATGTGCTTCGTTATCTGGAATTTCACTTTCCTTACTGACTCTTGTTTCATTTCAGCCTATCTTTCACAGTGTTTGATATGTCTGGCCAAGGACGATACCGTAGCCTGTGGGAACACTATTATAAGTAAGCCCCAAAACTGATATATGTTTGTTCTGAATCTTGGAATTGTTATATTAGAATATTTAGTTCTGCAGTGTATTCATTCTCAGGTGTGTGTTTTAGAGGGCTTGATTTTCACAATTCATTTTGGATTACTCTATAGCATGACTTTTTAATACCAGAATACGGTACAGTAAATATTTTTATCTGGGGTAGATTCTGTACCAATATAAAAATCGTGCATTTTTTTCATCATTATGTCGGAAATGCTTGAAAATCTCAAAATGCTTCACAGTGATCAATTGCTGCAGGAATACAGTCTAGACTATGAGATTAACTTTTATTAATGGTGTTTGAATACACAGCTTCTGACCTGGGGGTGAGAGTGCCATCTGCTGAGCCAAACAGCACATCTGAGATCTGAGGCCCATTGTTGCATTTAGTCTTAACTGCAGCTCTCCACTAACTCTTCTTGTTTCAAATACTGGGTTCCTGATGCCTGATATTTTGATTATAGGGATGCCCAAGCCATTATTTTTGTGATTGACAGCGGAGACAAGTTGAGGATTGTTGTGGCTAAGGAAGAATTGGACACCCTTCTCAATCATCCAGGTAAAATGAGCCTGGGTGGATTTGCCTTGAATGTCTTTGATATGCTGAGGTTGGACTTGCCCTGTATGTATTTCATTGAAATGAACTGCCTGTACTTGGAATGGAACAGTAAATTGGAAGAGGTTAGGTTTAATGGTGAATAGGTTTATGCAGTTACAGTAAATTGAGTTGCAAGGCTATTTATAATGGGCTGTATAAATTGAAATTGTTATCTTCCACAGTTGCTGAATTTTCTACAGTATGTAGGATTCGTGCAGAATTCAACAGAACATATAAGAATGTATCTATGAACCTCTGAGACAGTCCATTCTATAATCTGATGACCCTGATAGCAGTTAAATGACCACCAGGCAAAAAACAAATATGGGACCTTTCTCATTTGTAAGGATGAAAAGTCCTGATTAATTTTGAAAGTCCATTGATTAACACTCTAACTGTTTTTACATTAACAAACAGATGATCTGGATGTTTGAGAAACCAGATTGTGAGGTCCTGATTTTAGATGCATAATTTCCTGACTGTTTTCTGAAAAAAATAAAGCAGGGTGTTTTTGTTTACAGATGTCAAACACAAACGAATTCCTATTCTATTTTTTGCAAATAAAATGGATCTAAGAGATGCTTTATCATCAGTTAAGGTGTCTCAGATGTTGGGCCTCAATAATATAAAGGACAAACCCTGGCATATCTGGTAGGTGACATGAAATACAGTTGGATTTGGTAGAATAGAGCAATTGTTATCTTTAGTGTATTCATATAATAATGGTTGTTGTACAGGGAGGGTACGTCATATATTCTAAAATAAATTTGATTAGCCAAGCTTTGAGTTCAACAATCAAAATTATTACGAAGAAGAATTTTCTAATTATTAGATTTCTATATTGTTTGACTTGTTGAGCAATATCTGATCTTCTGAATCATACCTATTAGAAAGAGTTAAGGCCTCCAAAATACTGTATCTAGAGGTATGAATTTATACATGGTATAGTCAGCTAACATAGGATAATTATAAATCCACGACACTGCTGCGTTTCATACACAAAATATACAGTCAGTTCACTTTACAGTATATTCCGTGAAGCACTTTGAGACATTTCAAAGACGTGATAAGGCGTTATGTCAAATGCAAGGATTATTATTATTATAAATTATAGTGCAGTAAGGATGCCAACTAGCTTTCTGTTAGGAGCAGGGACTGCAGGGAGAATAATGATGAACTAAACTATCTCAGTAATTGACTGAATTAGTCATCTGTTAACAAATTCTCATTGATTTTTAAAAACCTTGTGTCCCACTTTCTAAGAAAAATATTTCAGGATTTTTTATCACCCTATTTCCATTAAAAAAAAGTCTTCTCAAAATTGGATTACACCTATCTCTTAATAACTACTATACATTTGCAAGTAAAATGTTTTGTCAGAGTAATTTGTCTCACATTTTTGACTTGCTGTGTTTGCTTAGTGCCAGCAATGCTCTGAAAGGAGAAGGACTGCATGAGGGTGTAGAATGGTTACAAGGTAAGAGAAAAGAATCCCCTCATTTGCTAGGTTGTGAGTCTTCATTGACAATGATTAGCTGGCTGACAAAAATCTATGGTGGAACAGGTGCTGTTTAAGTTGCTCTCCCTACCCCCCTTCACCCCCTCTTTCCCCTCTCTCACACACAGGAGAGGGAGATTCAGACATACTCACACAGACTCTCAAAAGCAGAGAGAGAGAGGCACATACACACTCGCACACAAACACACAGACGCTCACAACAGTGTGGCCTCCGAGTGAAATCCATTTGCATCACACTGCGCCTGTGCATCCACAGTGACGTCAGGTGAACAGCCGGCAGGCCCGCGGGCCAGAAACTACATTTATTGCGGATTCGAGGAGAGAGATGCTGCCGCACTTTTCTGTTGGCCCAGACCAAGACTCTTGACTGGCAGCACTGGGAGATGTTAAAGGAGATGGGAAAGCATGTTTGATTTTACTGAGTCAATTCGGGGACCTTGGTGATTTGGTGGCTAAAACTAGTAGGAATTGTTTTATTGTCAGTGTAAAGGTGATGCTTGGCAGTCACCCCATGCTGCATTTATCCTGATATAATTCAGTTTGTTTACAACCTGCAGTAATTAGAACAAGTGCACATCATTATGTTGATATTTTTCAATAATGTATTTTTCAGATCAAATCAGATCCATGAAGATATGAAGCAACACTAAAATTGTGAAGAACTGAAACCGTAATGTTTGAGATGGCTGAAGAAGCCAAGAGAAATTATTGAAACCGATATAAATGTTGAATAAATTAAATGTAGTTGCAACCTATTTAGTTATTCTAACATGTATTTATAAAGTTGGCAATATTGTGCACCTGCTTAGTGCAGTGATTTGATCAGTGGTCGTGATGATTTTAATTGTAGATAAGTTTTGCAAGCAGTCCCAAGAGACTGACACATTCACAGACTTTAGCCAAAGGCTGCTCTTGATTCATGCTTCCCTATTGTACATTGATTCTGTTGAAATTATGTTAGAACGTTGTATTTCACTTCTCGCTGTTCAAATCCAGTCCAAGCACGTGGATTGAAAGCCTAACTGGTGGCTAACTGGTGCTGCATGATGCGAGTCTGCCCATTCTTAAATCTCTTTCCAGTGGAAATGATTAAACAGCACAAACCTGCTTGTAATTCAGCAGTAATTGGAGAGTCCTTGCGCTATTGAAGCCAGGATTGAACCATGTTGAAGTTGTTTGATAATGTTGTTAAAGTTATTTAATTGAAGCAAAATGTTGAAGCTAAATTTAATTGAAGAGAGATATCTCATGTATTTGAGCAATTATGCTAGGAAAAATCACATTCCTTTCATCTCTGCGTCCTGGGTTTCAGCCCATTGTAGACTGAGAATCTCATTGAGTGGAGACAGATGGTGTAACTGCCCTCTCAGTTAAGGAATGATACCTGATAATTTGTTGGATAGAAATAAATAACCATTTAAGACTTCCTCCCCATGTGAAAGGTGCTGTATACGTGTAAATTGTGTTGGAAACATTATTGCAATAGATGGGTAAGGCATATGCATCGAAGAATTAATTATTGTGAAATGATTGTTTTCACACAAATAGTGGAAATTTGGAATTCTCTCCCCTAAAAGGCTGTGGTGGATCCACTAAAATATTCCATTTATTCAAATTGAGATGGATAGATTTTTGTTACGTAAGGGTATCAATGGATATGGGGCAAAGGCGGGTTGAGGGTCAGATCAGCCATAATCTAATAGAATGGTGGAACAGGTTGAATGGCCTAATCCTGTTCCTATGTTCCTCCGATTTTTGCAAATTCAAGTGATAGTCTACCGCCGATTGTTGGGAAATAAATATATTTTTCAAATGTTACGCTAGGAATATTGTAAAGTCAGTACTTGCCATGATATTATCTCAAATAGGAAAACATTTTTGAAGACTAGATAGCAAGGAAAGGAATTAAGCAGTCGCCATAACCATATCTTCAGACTGAATCTAACTAGCTGATTCACCTCCTCCTTTCCTGATGGAGAAAGTAGACTAGTTTCATTTTAATAATGAGAAAAGGCTATTCTGTTTTTGAAGGGTTTCGCAATTCCATTGTGTCTTTTAAAATTCGAGAGTTTGCTCACGAACGAGATCCTCTACCAACACTGCTGCGCGCAATTGGCTGCCGCATTTTGCCCACAAATATATACAGTCAATTCACTTTACAGTCTTCTGTAAAGCGCTTTGAGGCATCTAGAAGATGTGAAAAGCGCTATATCAAATGCAAAGATTATTATTATAAGTTCTAAACTGTTATGACTGTTGTGGACAGATTTATATTGAGTGAGGTGTAGTGATACCATTTCAACACCAGGAGATGCTGCATCTTCATCCTTCAGTGCAAGTGGTAGTGTTTTTGTGCTCTACATTCAGCCTTCGTTCCTAAATAAAAGTCCTGTTTTGTGATACTAATTCTACAATGGTTTATGGCCCAGTCGAGACTTGTTAAAGTTGAATTAACCGACTAAATTTAATTGAGGAAATCTGAAAATCAGAAACAATGTCCATGATTTTAAGCAAATTGGAAAAAGCTAATGTATTTTGTTACATATCGCAAAAGGGCTGATTTTCCTTTGCGTTTATACTCTTATTGAATGCTGTCTTTTATTCCATAGCCTATTGCATTCTATTCTTTTCAAATGTAGAAGTACACTTAGTGCTGACACCTTTCCATCTGCCTCAATCAAATGGAAATTATGACTTACAATTTTGGAGTGTATTGGGCACATCGAGACTGCATGAGTTCTGATGCGCTAGTCATCTGCTCATAACCTGTTGTATAGCTCTTCTCGAAGTGGTGAATGCAGTATGTTGGTGTGTGGAATCCAGTCTTGCCCCTTGTGAGCACTGTATTGTAAACTGGATTGTACTGTGGTTGTTATTACAATAAATGTTGCATTCAATAAAACATTTAGAAGTACACTTGATGTAATTGTGTGCATTCAATAATAAAACTTCTTGCATTTGATATAAATCTGTATTGTGTCTTGAAGGCATCTCAAAGTGATTCACAGGATACACTGTAAAGTGCGTAAAAGTGTCCCACTAAATAGCCATGAAATGAATGACCAATGTTTTTTTTGATCGGAGGTGGAATAGTAATTTAAGGCAAACAGACACAGGAAGGTTATAGCAGAGTGCAAAGATCTCTGGCATCTTTCTTTGCTTCAGATCCACTGGGTTTGAAGCTAACCGGTTGGATTTATGTATGATGTGTTTCAGCTCCTTTGATGATCAACCTATTTTCCTTCCGTTTCAAGTACAGTGCATCGGTGTCTCTGTGCTTTTTACAGAATGCAACAACAACTTGCACTTATATAGCGCCCTCCACCCAGGGTAGTGTCTCAGAGCTCTTAACCGTGGTGGAGCCTGACTCCATGCCGGGGGTGAGAGGGGAAGGTAGCCATAAGCACGGGCGAAGAGTAAGGTTTTCAAGCAAGATATGAAAGGGGAGGGAGCAAGGTGGAGGGATTGAGGGAGACTGCTCCAGAGTTTTGGGGCGTAGTGGCTTTGGAGCGCGATCTCCAGTGGTGGAGCGGAGGGTGTGAGGGACAAGCAGGAGGCTGGTGCCAGTCGGGCGGAGGTGCCGGGTGGTGGATTGGGGAGAGAGGAGGTGCCGGGTGGTAGATTGGGGAGTGAGGAGGTGCCGGGTGGTGGATTGGGCAATGAGGAGGTGCCGGGTGGTGGGTTGGGGAGTGAGGAGGTGCCGGGTGGTGGGTTGGGGAGTGAGGAGGTGCCGGGTGGTGGGTTGGGGAGTGAGGAGGTGCCGGGTGGTGGGTTGGGGAGCGAAGGGATTTGAACGTAGGAGTGAGGATCTTGAAGTCGATCCGTTTGGTGATGGGGAGGCAGCGGAGCCTGGGCCGGGCACTGGGGAACCCACTCTGCATTCTGTGGGGTGGGGGGATGGCTACACAGAGGCAAACTGGTGTTCCAACCCTCAAAGACTTTGTGGAGTCCTGTAGCTCAGTGGTTAGAGCACTCGCTTTGCAAGTGAGAGACCTGAGTTCAATTCCCGGCAGAGGGCGAAACCTTGGGCAAGTTTCCTTACTCCACACAGAGCCTAATAATAATCCCTCAAAACCAAAAACAATAATAAATTGGTCATTTTCAATCTACGACTGTTTGTGGGACATTGCTGTGCGCAATTGGCTGCCGCGTTCGCCCACAAATATACAGTCAATTCACTTTACAGTGTGTTCTGTGAAGCGCTTTGGGACGTCCTCCCGACGTGAAAAGCGCTATATCAAATGCAAGGATTATTATTAGTATTATTATGAGTTTCGCCCACAAACCCCACGCACCCTCTGCCAGTATGCCCTGCTCCGTAGTGCGCATGCGCCGGTCAACACGCACCGCCCTTTCTCCGCTCTCCTCGCTCAACCTCTCCCTCCACATCAACTCCCCCAGTCACGGCCACCCACTCGACTTGGTGATCACCCGGGGCCTCAGTGTCTCGGATGTCACTATCACTGACAAGGCCGTCTCCGACCACCACTTCATCTCCTTCACCACCTCCACCCTCCACCAGACCCACCACCATCTTCTACCGCCCTTGGAAGAAGTTGCCCCCTCAATCCCTAACCGCTGCCTTGGAGTCCTCTGAACTCCTCTCCCTCTGGCCTTCAACCCTCACTGACCCCTCTTCTGCTCTCACCCTCCTCCACAACACCCTCTCCTCCACACTTGACACTCTTGCCCCCATCACTTCCCGCACTGTCTCCTACTCCCGCTCCTCCCCCTGGTACACCACCCACCTCCGCTCACTGAAGAGCCAGGTGTGGGCCGCTGACGCACCTTTGTCAAATCTGGCCTAACGGTCCACCGACAAATCTGGCTGGACCTCCTCAAAATTTACCGCTCCACTCTAGCCTCGGCCAAGTCGTCCTTCTACTCCAGGATAATCCTGGAGGCGAAGAACAACCCCAGGCTACTGTTTTCCACCACATCCCGACTCCTCCGTCCCCCCGCCACCCCGCGCAGGTCATCTCCTCCAACCTTCACTGCGAGGAGATGCTGGATTTCCTTGAATCCAAGATCAAGGGAATCCGCTCCGCGGTCACTTCCCCTCCAACTTCCACCCACCCCCACCCCTTCCCTCCCACACTCCGACTCCTACCCATCCTCCCCTACACACCTTCGTACCCGTTTCCCCACCCTCTGTCACTGAACTCATCCTATCCCTAAAACCACCACCTGCTCCCTTGACCCCATCCCCACTCCACTCCTTATCTCCCAGCTCCATTTCTTGCCCCACACATCACTGACATCATCAACCTGTCCCTCTCCTCTGGCTCTGTCCCATTCCATTAAAAACTGCCACCATCACGCCCACCCTGAAAAAACCCTCCCTTGATGCGTCGCAGCTATCAAGCTACCGGCCCATCTCCAACCTCCCCTTTCTCTCCAAGGTCTTGGAAAGAGTTGTCGCCTCCCAACTGCGCTCTTTCCTCTCCACCATTCTCTTTTCGAACCCCTTCAGTCAGGTTTCCGTGCTGCTCATAGCACAGAAACTGCCCTGGTCAAGGTCACCAATGATATCCTGACCATCTGTGACCAGGGCTCCCTCTGTCTCCTCGTCCTCCTCGACCTATCGGCAGCATTCGATACGGTCGACCACGCTATCCTACTCCACCGCTTGTCCTCCCACCTCAACCTTCAAGGCACTGTCCTTGAATGGTTTAGCTCTTACCTTTCCCACCGTCTTCACTTCGTCTCAACGAATGGCTTCTCCTCCACCCCCCGTACTGTCTCATGTGGTGTCCCTCAGGGCTCTGTCCTCGGTCCCCTCCTCTTCACCCTCTATATGCTCCCCTTTGGTGACATCATCCGCAGACATGGGTTAACTTCCACATGTATGCGGATGACACCCAACTCTACCTTTCCTCCTCTACCTCAACTCCACGACCACCGATGTCCTGACAGCTGCCTGTCCGACATCGAGTCCTGGACGAGAGACAACTTTCTTCAGCTCAACGTGCGAAAAACCGAGGCCCTCCTGATTGGCTCACGTCAGCGCCTCCGCACCTCAGGCGCTGACACCATCAGCATCCAAGGCTGCACTCTCCACCTCTCAAAGCCAGTCAGGAACCTCGGCGTTTTGTTCGACCCTGAGCTGTCCTTTCTCCCTCACATCCGCACCACAACTGGCACCGCCTTCCATCACCTCCGGAACATCGCCAGACTACGGCACTACCTCACCCCTCACGCTGCTGAAACCCTGGTCCACGCCTTTATCACCTCAAGGCTGGACTATGGGAACTCTCTCCTCGCCGGCCTTCCCGGCACCTCCCTCCACAAGCTGCAGGTCATTCAGAACTCTGCAGCTCGTGTACTGTCCCGCACCAGGCTTCGCGACCACATCACTCCCACCCTCGCTCGCCTTCCACTGGCTCCCCATCCCCCAGAGGATCGAATTCAAGATCCTCATCCTCACCTACAAGGCCATTCACGGCCTTGCTCCCTCCTACCTCTCCGACCTACTATCCCCCACCTACCTGCCCGTACCCTCCGTTCCTCTGGCTCCGGTCTGCTCCACATCCCCCGCCCCAACCGCCCTACCATCGGTGGTCGGCCTTCAGCCTCTCAGCCCCGAGGCTCTGGAACTCCATCCCCCAGTGCCTTCGCCGCTTCCTCCCTTTCCTCCTTCAAGGCCGGTCTCAAAACCTTTCTCTTTGACCGTCAGCCTTCAGCTCCCTCTCGACTCTCTTCCCCTCCTCACTCCCTTCCCTCCCTTCCCTCCCCTCACCCTGACCATTTCCCCCCCAATGCTCGGGTCCTGACCCAACTGTGCAGCGCCTTGGGACGTCCTCCCGACGTGAAAGGCGCTCTATAAATGGAATCTTGTTGTTGTTGTTGTTGTTTGCCAGTATCAGCGCTCGGCTGTGCGCACGCGCAGGAGGACCGCCCGAAACCTGGGTGCTCAGTGCGCACGCGCCGCCCGGGCCGCTCCTCCTCCCCCCTCCGCCCCGCCCACGCGCTGGGGCTGGTAGGGCGCATGCGCCAACTGTCAGCCGTTGCGCGCGGCAGTTTGAATGTGGTCGGTTATTCGGAGCCCCGATGGAGCTGAGCGGCAGCGCGCGGAGGAGCGTTCGTCTCGCAGCTTCCACCGACGGCGCGGGCGGCGGCGCGGGGGACGAGGTCGCCCTCGAGCAGGCAGTCGAGTACTTCATCATCGGTAAGAGCCGGGTAGCGGTGTCTACCCCTGGGGGGCGGCGGGAGGGAGGGAGGGCGGATATAGGCCTCTCGGTGTTGCACCGCCTCACGAGAGTAAACCCCTCGAGCGCATTGTTTGTGAAGCTGTAAAGGTTCACAGAGATTATCCATCTCTCTCTCTCTCTCTCTTTGTAAGATGAGTCTTTCCGTCACAGCCATTTAGTTATTGGTACAACAATAACGGTAGCAAGTACTGTGTGGGGGTGGGTGTGTGTGTGGGGGGGTGTGGGTGGGTGGGTGTGTGTGGGGGTGTGGGGGGGGTGGGGCGCTGCTGTGCGTAATTGGCTGTTGCGTTTCGCCCACAAAATATAGTTGTTTCACTTTTACAGTATAATCTGTGAAGCGCTTTGAGACGTCTCAAAGACGTGATATCAAATACAGGGATTATTATTATTGTTGTTGTTGTTGTTATGCAGCGCTTTTCAAGTCGAGAGGACGTCCCAAGGCGCTGGACTGTCGAGGGTTTACACCCGAGCTGGGGGTTTGGGATTGAGAGGGGTGCGGGGAGGGCGGATGATCAAAGACACAGACCACGCGTCCCTGAAGGGATTTATACTCCATCCCAGGCCCCACACCCACTCCTTTGCTTCCCCGTCCCCCCATACCCTTCTGTTCCCCTCTCCCTCATCCGAAGGGTGTCAGCGCAGAAAAGAATAATAATCCTTGCGTTTGACATACAGCGCCCTATCACGTCTTCGAGACGTCTCGGAGCGCTTCACAGTATATACTGTGAAGTTAAACGACTGTATTTTGTGGGGTTTATTATTGTTGTTATAATGTATTAATGGTAGCTGAGCCCCAGAGCTGCGTTTCAGTATCGGGTAGTCTTACATGTGGCCGTGCTTTCACATACCTGCTACCATTTAATTAAACATTGGCCCACTGGTCATGGCAATTGCAGCAGAACTGGTTCTGTCAGCTACTCAAAGTTGTCAGTCTGAGACACTAGGAGTACTGGATTATTATTTATTATTATAAGTCAGCCCAAGGTTTACACCGAGCATTTGTGATGTTGTCAATCATACGTTGTCAGTGGCAATGATCAGATGATGAAGGATGGCAGGAGCAGTCGGTAAATATTGTAAGTCGGAGAGATTCGGAGGACACTACCAAAAAGGTGGTGCAATTACGAGCAATTTTATTCGGACAACAATTACAAAGTTAACCTACACAAAGATTAAAGCAAGTTTTACAGAGAAAAGGGAATTACCCGGTTCCTCTGGAAAATGCGTTGATCCTGTTCAAACCTTTACTTGCCTCGCTTCAACTCTCTTGTCCTAAGCACACAGGTTTTATATCTCAATTCTCAATCTGTTTTACCCATATATGGTTAAGGCATAACCCAACACGCAAAGTTCAAGCGCCAGTTCAAATTCAGGCTCCACCGCTGCTAAGCGCTCTGAGACGTGACCCTCCGTGGAGGGCATTATATGTTAGTGTTGTTCTCTATTTGTAACTAGATTCTAACCAGAAGGCTTCTCTGACTAATTGCATTTGGTGTTTTTTTACCTTGAATGTTTTCTCACAATGCGTCTGCTTAGTTTAACACTCACTTTCAATCCCTTAATTGCTGCTATCTTCTTTAATCTAATGTTACTTAAATATCTGCAGAATAACACGAGACCACAGTTTAGAACATAAGAATTAGGAGCAGGAGTAGGCCATTCGGCCCCTTTAGCCTGTCTCGTCAATCAATCAGATCATGGGTGAGCTGTTCTAACTCCACCTACCCGCCTTATCCCCATATCCCTTAATCCCTTTATCTACAAGAAATCTATCAATCTCAGTCTTGATCTCTCAATCTTAGCACAGATAAGAAACCAGTCAGAGAGATTGGGTTGACCAGATCAGCGCCAAGGAATCTGCAATGTTTAGGAAGCTGGGATTGATGAGATCAGACTGGTGTATGTGTCCCAAAGAAGAATATATCTTACAATATGTTGCAAGGTATCTTGGAAATGTAGTAACTGTCTCAATCCTTCACAACATTCCATCTCTAGTATATGGCTAGGTTGATGGCTGTATGCAGCCCCGTTGGAAATACTGTAACATGTAAAGGGAGATTTCTAGAAGTGTTCAATTATTGAGGATAAGGATGTTGCAAGGTTTTTAGGAAAGAATCTTAAATTGATGAGTAGAAATGTGGGAATTGTTTTTCTTTCTTCAGTGAAGGAACGAACACCATCAAAAGGAATTGCTCACCTGGAGACGATCGGAAGCATTGCTTTTGCAAGGGGCTTATTGCCGGAGGTTATTGAGGCCCTGCTTGATGTGGCTATGAGTGCTAAGTTCGGTAAAAGTTCTCTTTGATTTACAAGGTTGCTCTGCTTGTTAGTGTTGGTAATGTTAATTGCACTGCCACCGATTTTGTATAAATCTCTATATTTGGGAATGTGTATTGATCTTTTTTAAAGTTTCTCAGATAAGTGATGCAGTGATCTTCCTTGAGTCAGCGAGTACATATCTTGGTCTTACTATTTTTGTAAAGACATTGGATCTCTAGTGTATTACTCCTTGAGGTGTATATTTTAAAATATATGGGAAGAAATTTCACCTGGATCTAGATTATTTATATCGAATTTTAAGAGTGTCCAGATTTCGATACATTGTTGTATTTAACCATAACTTCAAAGTTAGTTTTTTGTAGTTCTTAAAATAGCATGCAGAAAACTTGCTTCATAATAAAGGCTTTATGTGCCTGCGATATTCCAAAATGTTTTTATTAAAGTTGCTTACTCTTATAACGACTAGTGCTTTAAGCACCACCTTCGATGTATGTTTAAAAAAAAGTAAATTCCTTTAGATTTTCTTAATCATAAAGAAAAATGATTGTGGGATAATAATCATTTGAATTTTCTTTTTCACAGTTGAACGAATAAATACACGTCTCCTAAACTGCCTTATTCCTGCTTCTGTCGTTCCTGAAAGTGCAGTGGTTAAAGCAATATCCTGGATATGTACGCGAAAACCCTCCACCAACATACAGGTGAGACTAAACTGGGTTCACTATGCAAAAATTTGTTTGCAGACATTGATCTAAGCCCTTCAACCAAGGAAGTTGGCTTCATGTTTGTGTTACACACTCATGTCATTGAGGACCTCCAGCTTTGAACAACAACAACAAAATTACATTTGTATAGAGCCTTTCATGTCGGAAGGACATCCCAAGGCGCTAGGCGCGAGTTGGGAGTAGGGAAGGGGGAAGCAGGGAGATCGAAATCACGGTCGAAGAGGAGGGTCTTGAAGGTGGTGAGGGAGGGGGGCGAGACGGAGGGACTGTGGGGTGGAGTTCCAGAGGGTGGGTGCAGAGTGGCGGAAGGCCCGCTCACCAATAGTGGGCAATGCGGGGGAGGAGAAGCAGGCCGGAGCCCGCTGAGTGGAGGGATGGTAGGGGGTTAGGAGGTCGGAGAGGTAGGGGGGAGCAAGACCGTGGAGGGCTTTGAAAGTGAGGACCAGGATCTTGAACTGTATACTCTGTGTGATGTAAAGCCAGTGGAGTTGGGCGAGGATGGAGGTGATAGGGTCGCAGAGTGTGGGAGAGGACACAGGCTGCAGAGTTCTGGATGATCTGCAGCCTATGGAGGGAGGAGTTGGGGTGGCCGACAAGCAATGAGTTTGCATAGTCGAGCCTCGATGTAATGAAGGGATGTATGAGGGTTTTGGCGGCCTGCGGTGTGAGACAGTGGCGGAGCCGGGCGACGTTGCGGAGGTGGAGGAAGACTGATGTGGGATAGAAAGGACAGTTGAAGGTTAAACAAGACCCCGAGGTTCCGGACTGGCTTAGCAAAGTGGAGCGGACAACCATGGATGGTGATGCTGTCAGTGAGGAGACGCTGACGGAGCCAATCAGGAGATTGGAGAATTGGTGAGCGTCAATCAGGTGACGTTCAACTGAAGAAAGTTTGTTCTCATCCGGGACTTGATGTCTGGCAGACATTCTGTCAGCTCAGCAGTGATCCTGGAGTTGAGGGTGGAGGCAGAGAGGTAGAGTTGTGTGTCATCCGCACACATGGAAGTTGACCCCATGTTGGCGGATGATATCACCAAGAGGGAGTGTATAGATATTGAAGAGGAGAGGATCAGGGACAATAGTTAGGGAGTAGAGAAGAGTCCAAGGAGGGATTTTTAAGGATAGGAGTGATGACAGCGGTTTTTAAAGGGGTGGGAACAGCACCGGAGGATAGGGGAAGGGTTACAATGTCAGTGAGTAGAGGAGCAAGGAGGTGGAGCTGGGACGTAAGGAGAGGTGTAGGAATGGAGCAGGTGGTGGGTTTCATACGAGTTGTGGTGATGGGAGAGGAGGGGGAGACAGGTTCAAAGGTGTGGAGGGAGGGTGGGAAGAGGAGATGGAGTGGGAGTAGTAGTTGCAGTGGCAGAGGCAGCTGAGCAGATTCCCTCGACTGAATTCAAGGAAGTCCAGCATCGCCTCGCAGTTGGCATTTGAGGAGAGGGAGGCCTGAGAGGATGGGCGGAGGAGCCAGTTCATGATGGAGAAGCAGAGCCTGGGGTTGTCCTTGGCCTCCAAGGTTGACTTGGAGTAGAACAACGATTTAGCGGAGGCGAGGGCGGAGCGGTAGGATTTGACGTGGTCCAGCCAAATCTGGCAATGGACAGTTAGGTTTGATTTAAGCCGGGTGCACTCAGCGGGACGTGCCTGGGCTTCAAGGGAGCGGAGGGGGCTGGTGTACCAAGGTGATTTGCGTGAGTAGGAGACGGTTCAGGAAGCTTTGAAGCTTTGATCATTTCAGTGGTTGCAATTCCCTGTGCCTCTTATCAGCTAGCTGAACAACAACATTGGCAAAGGTCTGAGTGCTAGCTGCCATATTATTCTTGTGGCCTGAATACAGGCAAGCACAAAGAATATTCTAAGAATGATTCATCTGCTTTGCAGGTGCTGCTTTTCAGGTGGTTGTTAACTGTATTTGACCTACTGGACTCCAAGAAACAACTGCATTCCTTGTATGGAGTAATCTTTTTCTACCTTCAAATTGACAAACTGGTAAGAAAGCCTTATACAGCTCCCTTAATTTGGTCACCTCTGCAATGCTATCTATGCACTCCTGAGAACTCTATACTCTATGTTTGCAATTTTTTTCATGCACATTAAGTTTGTTGCCTTGGTCTGTGTTATGTGGCGATATTCATGTAGTCACTTGCATGTAATTTACGTTTGGCAACACTACAATGTACATTTGGGAATACAGTAAACTCCTGATAATGCGACCCTGTCTTGATGTGTCACTACTACTTCAGTCATCATTGTTTATGCATTTATGTATGTATTATACATCATAATAATAATAATAATCCTTGCACTTGATTTTGCGCTTTTCACGTCGGGAGGACATCCCAAAGCATATATACATATACATATACATATATACATGCCTAACTTGCCACTCCGGATAACTCACTACTGATCGATTTTCCTGCATAATGATAAGTTATCAGGAGTTTACTGTACATGACCATATGATATTGATACACTCTGACAGTCATTCATGGGCAATGTTAACTAACAGTCTAGAGTGTATGCATACATATCTTGTGTAAAGGAATCTTGCGGATCTTTCAATCTTTGATGCCCACGTAAGCATTTTTTTTGTTCCCTTCAGTGTCCCTACATCTGCCACCTGTTGTACCTGTTGACTAAAAAGGAACATGGTAAGTTTTGGGATATGCTTGCTTAAATTTGTGTGCACTGTAATAATTTTTTATTTGGCAGAAAAAAAAGCTATGTTTTTTCCAAAACCAAAATTGACTTGATCGTGCAAAAATGTACATGATATGCACTCTAGGATGGAAGGACAGTACGGTACTTGCTTTTGCATCACATGCCAGGTGGCAACCTGGCCCAGTTGGTAGCACTCCTGCCTGTCCAAAGAAGGCTGTGGGTTCAAACCGCAGATGGGGAATTTGGACTGTCAGCCTAGGCTGATACTTCATTATCTGTTGTCTTGAACTTCACATCACTATAAAATGCTTTTGGGAGAATATTGAATCAATTCAGTGGGAATTCCCTGCTGGCTGAAAGAGGCAGCTTGAAGATGAAAAGTCTGGTGGAGGTAATTGTTTCTGGCTGATGTGTAATTTCTTGCAGTTGAGCTGGTTGGCTAAGTAGGCTTCGCGTAATGGCACAGGACTCAAATCACTTGTTTAACATGGATAATTTTATAGTTGTTCTGAAAAAAAATATTGTTTGGATCAGTCACTATTTCTATTCTTACTTTCTCTCTTAATTTCTTCTAGTTAAACGATTCCGAGTCAAGAAGCTGATAGAGTTACAGGCCAAGAAGGTGAGTAATCTAGGTTTACTTTGGAATTCACTCCATTCTTCTAATGGTCTGAGTGTTTAAGTGGCTAAGTAACTTCAAATTCCATTCTGAGCGTTTGAGCATGAACCACCCAGCAAATCTGAGTGAAGTTTTGGGGTGGGAGAGTGAGAGGGGAAATGCTGTAGTATGTCACCCTGACTTAGTTTAGTAGCACCTCACCTCTGAGTCAGAAGTTTGTGGGATCAAACTCCACATTAGGTCTTAGAACTCATAGTCTAAGATGACAATCCAATATACTGCTGGAGGTGTTGAAGGTGCTCTCCTTCATATTAGACTTCTACCGTCTACCTGGACAGAAAGATGGGATTTTTCGAATAGGCACTATTTGAAAAGAGATGGGAGTTTCCCAAAAATAAAAATAAATTGGTTGTTCATTATATACAATACTATATTATATTTGCAGAGCGTCTTTCAGGCAAATTATCTGCCTCTCCTCTTGTGATGCTGAGACCCTAATCCATGCATTCATAACATTCAGGCTTGAGTGTGACAACGCTCTGCTTGCTGGACTACCCAACGTTTCCCTACACAAGCTGCAGAGTATCCAGAGCTCTGTAACTCATGTCGTCTCCTACACCAGGCTGCACAAGCCTATCACTCCATCCTCGCCCATCACCCCCTTCCTCGCCCGGCTGCTGGTGGATCGAGTTCAAAATCCTCATTCTTATCTTTAAATTTTCCTCCACCCCCCCACACCCCACATCCCTTGGCTGCCACCCCCAGCTCGGGTGCCAAGCCAGGACTGTCAAGCACCTCGGGATGTCCTCCTAGCATGAAATGTAAATTTATTATTGTTCCTGCAGTTGCCTACAAAATACTCAATCACTGCACATTAAAGTAAAGTCTTGTTGAATCACTTTGAGACATCTCCAGACGTTAAATGAGCTATATCAAATGTAAGGATTATGGTTCTTTGCTGATTATCTTCTGAATGATTATTTTCTGTGGTTTACATTTTGTAAATTTTAAATACAAATTACAATTGTTTTGTAACAACTGTTTCAAGTTACAGTTACAAAACAGAGGCAATGAACCAGTTGGAAACAATGTAACCCGAGGAAAGGTTGTAGATGTAGGTTGAGTTCACATGGAAGATTTTCTACCACAGGGAACATTATTTTTTTCTGTTGTGTATCCCAGGGAATGCAGCCACATCTTGTGGCTCTGCTCTTGCTGTATAAGATCTACGCACCTCAATTTGTTTATTTAGCACTTCCTGCAAAGCTCAAGGTATGTCTTCACGTTGTTTCTTATAAAGTCTAATGTTCACTAATTGTTTTGCATTCTAAGACTCAATAAAGATCTTAATACTTTTGAATGTTTCCCATCCTTTCAATTCTCCCATGACAAAATTGATCTCTTAAAGGGGCAACATCATTTAAAGGGGCAGCCTTGTGGAAGGTGCAATTGGTTGCAAGAGCTCTGTTTTTGATTTGGATGATGTGAGCCACAGTCCTACAGTATGTGTGATTCTCTGTGGTGTTTGAGTACAATATTGATAATATTGTGGCTAACAGCTTGCATTTCTTCTGACAGAACTTTCAAGTCTCCAATTCCCATTGGAAAAAAGCAATTGAAATTGTTCAGAACAATGGCTATAGAAGATTATCTGAAGCTCCTGTGGTTATAGATTTAACAATGCCTCTGATAAGGAAGAGAGTAAGTACTGTAGATGATTGTGCCTATTGATTATACTCTGGTCTCTCACTGGTCAGTTCAGCAAAATAATATTCTGAAGCCCTCCTTGCATTGATTTTCTTGTTTGCAGAGAATCTAGTCACTACAATATAATAAACGGTACAATCAAGTAGATGCCATTGTTTCCTATAATGCCACAGTTAAAAATGACCAGTCTCTTTTGCAAATTTGTGATTTTTCCTGTGTTCTACAAAATATGAAACAAAGTATGACTGTTGTGAAACAGTCACTGGTATTTACATACAAGCTTTGTGAGCTGCAGGCTTCATTGAAGTGTCTCCAACTGTTTTCTGGTGGGAAAAGTTAGTCGTTCTACTTGTCCCCTAAACACTTTTTTGTCAAACAAAAGTTTTCTCACCAATGCAGTTGTAAGAATGCAATTTGGAGCAATACACTTGGTTTTGCTAACCAGTGTTATCTTGGATTGAGCTGTTAGAATGCTCCAAGAAGGCACAATATCATTGTAAGTTGTTGTAAAAGAAAATCATTGGAACCCAATAACTTAAATTTTGCGTATATTTTTATCCCTTTTCAAACAAGATTCCCGATTTTAAAAAAAATTCAGTGCTTGCAATAAAAAAAGGAAAGTGATATTTTATATCCCCTCTAATATGTGGAGTCGTATAGCTCAGTGGTTAGAGCTCTCGTCTCGCAAGCAAGAGACCTGGGTTTGATTCCCGGCAGGGCAAAACATTGGGCAAGTTTCCTTACTCCTCATTGTTTACCTGGCAATAAGTAGGAACCCGGTTATTAGTCAGTTGGGGGATGGCTTTTCCAGGGGTAATTAGGTCTGAAGATCAGCCATGGTCTTATCGAATGGCGGGGCAGACTGGAGGAGCCAACTGGCCTACTCCTGCTCCTAATTCTTATGTTCTAATTCCTTAAAAAAAATTGGTTACTCAATCCACGACTATTTGCGGGACGTTGCTGTGCGCGTTTGGCTGCTGCGCTTCGCCCACAAACTATACAGTCAATTCACTTTATTCCGTGAAGTGCTTTGAGACGTCTCGAAGATGGGATGAAGCGCAATATCAAATACAAGGATTATATATTAAACATCTTATACTGCACAGATGTGTACACGTTAATTACTGAATGTACAAGGCTTTGTTTCTGGGGGAAAACACAGCAACGAATTGTCTTAAGTCCAAGCAGCAGCAATGAGGGTAATGTTTGGCTAGGAGTAAATAGATCCATTCTATTTTCAATGGTGCAATGAGATTTTTTACCTAAACTACGTATACTTTTTTTGAAATACAATAATAATATCCTTGCATTTGATATAGAGCTTTATCACGTCCTCAAGGCATCTTAAAGTGCTTCACAGAATATACTGTAAAGTGAATTCACTATGTTTTGTTTCTGAAACGTGGCTCCCAATTGCTCACAACAGTCATGGATTGAGTGACTAAATTGTTATTATTCTTTTTCAGAGAGATTGTTGTCTCTGGGAAGCGATCCGCCAATTGACTAACGATTATTTCAGCCATTTGAAGACCTATCTTTTGTCCATTTAGATCTCTTTTTTATTCATTAACCTCTCTTGATCCATTTTATACTGATTTATAGTAATTTGGGGGTTAGTGTTGCACAAGTGAAAATTGATAAACGTTGGCTGAGATTTATTGAGATGATGGTTAAGGGCCATTAGTTAATATTAATCTCTTGTTTGATTCGTGCAGAAAAGGAAGATTAATTCTGAAATGATTCCAGTTATCAGCAGCGTCTCGCACACCCAAGATCTGTCCGTCGAGCTCATGTTGCAGAGCGGAAGTTTCCCTTTGGAACAGTTGCGCACCTTTTCTCAATTACTGCAGAATTTTGATCGGATTGAGGTGAGTTAAAGAATCATTCTAAAGTGGTGAAACTAAACTGAAAAGATTCCTATAGTACTTAGCTGACAACTAGGCAAAAATGCATATGAAGGCATTTGGCAATCATAATGACTATTTGAGATTTATGGTTCAAAACCTATGGAGTAAGGTAATCAACCCACTTGTAAAGCTAATAGATGAATTGGCTGTGCTTAGTATTTGTTCAGTTTACAGAAGGTCAGTTTTGGCTTTCACAGTCTGTACTGAAATTCCCCATGTATTTACTGTGCATTGCTTCTGTTTAGTTTCCTGCACAGATGGGTTCAGTGCTGAGATCCCCTCTACTGCTTCATTATATTAATTGGGTAAAGGATGACTCTGCACTCCTACGACTGGATTTTTGGCTGGCTCAAACACTTCAGGAAGGTAACCATCTCAATAAAGTCCATTCCAATTTGAAACGTAAAGTAATTTCAAGAGGAAGTAACATCTTAAATAGGAGCAATGTTCCCAACACTTTTAAATCCTCATGTTACTGCACCCTATCACATTTGGTACAGGGCAATTCTTTGCACATATCTCCTTCCAAGCTGCCTCTAACCAGCAGTTTTCAAGTATGTTATACATATGCAACAACTGAGAAGCAGATAATTGTACAGTGACTCGTGTGAGGGCTGCACTGTTATTGAGCATTCAGTCTTATGACATTACAGTTATTTTCTTCCTACTGGGTGAAGATTCTAAAATGTTTGTATATGTTGCTCTAGTCCACTTTGATTTTCACCAGATCAATTTGCAGCTGTCATTACAAATGTTATTTTGTTGATGTTCTAATAAATTTGGTTCGAAAGGTTGTTAAAAAAACATAGCCCATCCATTTATAGTTACAAAAGGATGTGACCGATGGGTGAAGAATGGCACAAAGATAGTAAGAAAGAACATCGAAGTGTCCCAAGTACTTTACAGAATTACTATGAAGTGCAAACTCAGGGCATATTTTTCTGGGGTTGGATTCCCATGTGTAAAGGCTGATTTGTTGTCCCTTTTCCTTTTTCTAGAATTTACAGACTGTAAAGGGGATGACTTGCAGAAGGAAGCAGAGTTCAGGCAGTTTGTAAACCTCATCACCGACGCTCAGGAATTCCTGCAAGTAAGAAACTTGAATTGTGCCTCAGTGAACATATTTGTTCTACTAGATTTCTGGTTACAAAGCAAGATAATTACCTTGAATGTGATCCTCGGACTTTCAACAATCTAACTGCTTGAAAAGTGGCCACTGCTCACTGAGTGGTCCTGTAGATTTCTCGTAGTCTGCATATATTCTCGATTTTCTGTACTATGCTTCTGAACTGTGATCCATTTAATAGCTCAGCGAGGACACTAAAATGGAGCCTGTGAAGGCAGAAAGTTAAGAATTCTCCCCTTTGTGCTCTTGAATAATGATTGGAAGTCTTTATTAGAGCTGTTAAATCACCACCACGTAGATTTTCGATTGAAATACAGCTTTGTTGGGTGGAGTCACGAAAAGGGCAAATTAACATTAAAAAAATTAGGACGAAGCCTTAGACAAGTTTCCTTACTCCACACACCTCCGTTTACCTAGTAGTAAGTAGGAACCCAGTGGGTAGTTGCTTTGCACTTCCAGGAGTAACAAGCCCTCCAAAAGAAAATAGTAATACTTGCATTTGACATAGCACCTTATTACATTTTCAAGACTTCTCAAGCACTTTACAGACTATAATGTAAAGTGAATTGATTGTATATTATATTTTTGGAGGGATTATTACCCCCAGAAAAACAATCCGCCAATCGACTAACAACCAGGTTCCGACTTACTGCTCACTGAACAGAGGTGTGTGGAGTAAGGAAACTTGCCCAACATTTCACCCTGCTGGGAAGCAAACCCAGGTGCTCTCGATTGTGAGGCGAGTGCTCTAACCACTAAGCTACACAGTCACTTCACTTTACGGTATATTTTTGTGAAGTGCTTTGAGACATCACGAAGATGAGATAAGGCACTATATCAAATGCAAGGATTATTTTATTATTATTTAGAATGAATGGGCAATGGAGTTGAGATAAACTAATGAGTCTTCTCTTATTTTCCACTCATCTCTCCAGTTGGCCCCAGTCAGATTATTCTGGTCTTATTTCCCCTCTCACCACCATTCTCTTCCTGATCCCTGTACAGGTATTTTCTTATGTTGACACTGTATGCTGTTAGAAAATTAATTTGAACCTTTGTTTATTTGCAGGAAGGTTTTTCATGCTGTGAGGATTTTATACTGAAGTGCTTTTCTCAATGGGATACTTCATGGTGTAGTACTCAAATCCTTACCTTGCTAACCAGGATTCCACCTGGCTCTGGTAAGTAATGGCAATGCATTTTGGTACCAATTGTGCATTGGACAAGATTTCTCTATCTGAAGATTTCTTTCTAGGATTCTGTTGATTGTACTTTGTAAGCTGTGGGTTGCACTTTGCTTTCCAGTATGATCCAGCTAAAATCTGGACCTGGGTCACTAGGCAGTTCTTTCTATGGAGGAAAAAGCTGCCACATCACACATGCTGTCACTATCGGCACCACTTTGTGTGCTTCTGGCTCTTATCTCTAATTTTCTAAATGTCTGTCTGCAGTTTGCTGAATGTAAATGTACACATTTTAAGTCCATCGTATTTAATAGGATTCTCTATAAATCTCTAGTGATTAACTTGGGAAGTAGGTGCTTATTTTTCTTTTTTTATTATTAAAAGGCATTTTTTTTAATTTAAGGCATTTTTTTCATGTTTTATATTCATCTCTTTTCCCACCCTTTGAAGATCTCCTGCATCATTTACCAATTAGAGGGTAGATATCCTTTCCAGAGCCTGTAACATTGCTGTGTGTCAGCTGTAAAGAATGGTACTCAGTGCCCTCTCTTGACCTATTCTCAGCTGAGCAGTAACCAAATGCAGCTTTGTGGAGTAACACCGACCATCAAATGTACACATTGCAGCCAGAGGCAATCTGCTGTTCAACAACAACAAATTACATTTACACAACGCCTTTCACATTAGAAGGACGTCCCAAAGCGCTGGACAGTCAGGGATCTGCTCCCAAGCTGGAGGTTGCGATATGGAGGGTGGGGAGGGTGAGCGAAGACATAGTCGAAGAGTAGGGTCGAAGAGGAGGGTCTTGAAGGAGACAAGGGTGGCGGCGAGGCAGAGGGACTGGAATGAAGTTCCAGAGGGAGGGGGCAGAGGGGCTGAAGGTCCATTCAGCTCGGTTTTCTTGTTTTTTTTATAGCATCACTTTTAATTGCTGTTTTCTGTAATGAATTTTGTTCAACTATGAAACTGACCGCAGACTCTCTTGCTGACTTTGGGTAAATGGTGTGGCATTTGAGCCATACCAAAACGTTCCAGAAATGTTTCTTGGTTTGTGCTGGATTGGTTGGTTTCTGCTGAGTTAACTGATCTCAGTCAGTTCTACAATTGTTAGCTGATCTCAGCTGGTTCTGCAATTCGTTTGAATAATTCTTTGGCAAAATGAGCAAATATTGCTGCTTCACAACACTATCCAGTAACGTGGTGGAAAGGGCGGTATGTGTGAATGTCTGGCAAGGATGGGTTTAGGCTTAGCCGTAATGCTGCTGTCATCCATAGCCTGACAATACTTGTTTTGGGGACATTCACATGAACAGACACTTGAGTAAGATACAAGAGAAACTCGAACTCAACATGATTTATTGGCTTAGAGAGCATTTGGAAAAATGAACTGGTGCGATATTTGAAATCTTTTCACCAGTGCATGCACATATTTTCCTCATTTCATTTGATATTTTTAGGAACTGTTTGGCATCTCATCCTGTTCTAACCTTTGCTTCCCTTCAAACTTTGATTACTCAGGTGTGTTTTTTTATTTAATTACAGTTGTGCTCGATCTTTATCTTGATCCATTAATGAAGTTGTTCTTCACTTCCTCTATTTATTTCAAGGTAAGGGGACTTCTGCTTATTGTACTTATTCCCCCTCAACAGAAAAACAAATCAGCTTTAATGCCAATCTAACTTAATGCTCTTACTGACACTCTCTACACTGGACAGTAATTACCTACGAAGAGCTTACATATTTGATAAGGACCTATACAGACACAACTCTTACGATTAGAGAGGGGGAATATCAGATGGGATTCCCACTCGGGATTGATATCCAGTGACTCTTCATGGCTGTGTGATTGTGCAGTGTTGCGGGAGGCTATCATGTAATAATGTGCTGGTACTGCTATCCTTTTGGGTTTATATTGAAAAGATTTGGAACATGAGGTGCAGTTGCTAATGTCAATGGATTCACACCAGAAGTGAGCATAGAGGGATCTTATCATAATGCAGTCTTCAAGTCCATGCTAAACCTATCTAAAGCAGACCAACATATGGATGAAAATTTCCATGTGCCAGGAATGGAATGCACACTCCCTGGAGATGAACCCTGCTTATCTAGTTCCAGCAAGTACCAAGCATAGGTTGGCTCCCAATTGAGCTTTTGGGATCTCAGAGTGTGTGTCAGCGTTCCCCTGGAGTTTAACCAGCTAAAACTACATAGCTTGCCATTGAGAACACTCCTGCTTGTCCAGCTAGGACCATCCTACCTGTTAGGGATTTGGCTTGTAGGGTTAGTAGAAGGTGAATGGGAAGAATCCCTGCTTCCAGTGACTGGTCTGTCTCTCCAAATCCTGCTCATGCGCCAGGCTGGCTGTTCTCCAGTGCACCTGCCTGGCTTAGGAACCAGATCACCAAGACCAAGGGTTGACTTGATCTCAACATTCTTACACAGAATATACAGCATAGAAACAGGCCATTCGGCCCAACTGTCTATGCCCCAGTTTATGCTCCACATGAGCCTCCCCCTGCCCTTCCTCATGTAAACCTATCAGCATAACCTTCTATTCCTTTCTCCCTCATGTGCTTATCTAGCTTCCCCTTAAATGTATCTATGCTATTCACCTCAACTCCTCTTTGTGGTAACAAGTTCTACTTGCCCACCACTCTTTGGGTAAAGAAGTTTCTTCTGACTTCCCTATTTGATTTATTGGTGACTATTTTATATTTATGGCCCCTGGATTGGACTCCCCCATAAGTGGAAACATCTTCTCTATGTCTACTCTATCAAAACCTTTCATGATTTTAAAGACCTCTATCAGGTCACCCTTTTGTTTTCAAGAGAAGACTCCAAACTTATTCAGCCTTTCCTGATAAGTATAACCTTCCAATTCCAGTATCATCCTCATAAATCTCCTTTGCACCTTGTCCAGTGCCTCTATATCCTTCGTATAATATGGGGAACAGAACTGTAGAGTATTCCAAGTGTGGTCTAACCAAAGTTATATCTGACTTTGATATAAGTTTAGCATAACTTCTCTGCTTTTTCATTTCTGTCTCTGTAGAAATGAACCCCAATGCTTTGTTTGCTTTTTTTTAATCCCTTTGCTCCTCTACCCCATTTAGATTCTTATTTTCCAAGCAGTATGTGACCTCCTTATTCCTCCTATCAAAATGTACCGTCTCACACTTATCTATATTGAGATTAATTTCCCAATTAAATGCTCATCCAGAAGTTTATTAATGTCTTGTAATTTGTTGCAGTCCTCCTCAGTATTAACTACACTCCCCCAATTTGGTGTCGTCCGCAATTTTTTTAAATTGTACTTTTGATCGCTGAGTCCAAATCATTAATCTAAATTGTGAACAACAGTGGTCCCAATACAGATCCTTATGGAACACACTTCCCACCCACCCTCTGCCAGTCTGAGTAACTACCCTTTACTCTTGTTTTCAGCCTTGTAGCCGGCTTGCTATCCTTTCTGCTACTTCTCCCCTGTTAAAATCTGTTACCAAGCATTAGGAAGCAGAATTTGTTACCAAACAATGCCATTCTGTTACCAAACATGTCACCTTGGAGCCGGCTCTGCTCCAAGGAGATTATGCTTACTCTCCTCCCACCCACCCATTCCCCAAGGAGGGTAGTTCCAGAAAATTAGAACATGTTTTATAATACGACAAAATGGTGCCTAGTGGTGGCACTTAGGGCCCTCTTCATTAATCTCGGCTGGTAGTGTACATGGAGAGCGTGAGGGTTAGGCTTGGCTGTGAGACTCTCCAATCTTATTTGACCTTCACTGTCGAGGCTCAGAGGTGAATAATGGGCTAGAGTGAGATACCATAAGGCATTTGGACCTGTAAGAAAAGGAGATCAGAGCAGTAGCAGAAATGTATATCTCAGAAATTGGGGGGAGAATCAATACACTAAATTTATATAAAAATAAATATACTTGTACCAAAGACTAACCACAATGCCTGTGTTAATCCATAAATGGTATCTTTATTCACAGTGCAGTGTGATTGAAAGCCTAAACAATCTTCTGATTAATTGGCTGACCTGGCATTCTGTGTGCGTGGCTAAGATGGACAAGGAGATTAACAATATTTTGCAGAGTCCACAGTGAGTATATGCAGTCTTTAGTGCTTCATAAGAATGCTCCAGGAAACCTGGATGTTATATTTATGAACCCCGGAAGTTGGTTGTGCTTTTGTTAAATATTATTGAAAATAAAAATGCGGTTGACTGAAACATCACTAAGTACCCACAGGCATGGTCTGCACTGTGAGTATCGTGGATGTAGCCTGAGGCAACTTCCTCCTTAATAGAAAGAAGCTCTTAACAGTAAAGTGGGAAGGGTAATGGTGAGACCTCAGTAAACAATTGTGTGCCTTATGTTAAACTAGCTTTGATCCTTCCTCCATCTCGGGAACTCATTCATCTCTGTGAAGCGCTTTGGGACATCTTCCTGAAGTTAAAGGCGCTATATAATACAAACTCTGTTGTAACAGTTTTACGTGCTGCCTTTAACCATCCTCACCTAAGAAGTAATGACCGGAAGAAGCCCAGGCATTCTCCAGCACCACTTCACAGGCTATGTATGTAGTGACAGCCCCAGTGCATTAAACCCCTACGTTACTGGCCCAGTGAGAGTCACTTAACTTGAAACATTGTAAAGGCTTTGAAATTTGCATCATGTGAATGGGTTGCTGTGCTCTGGATTAACTGTATTGAGACATCCCGAGTCGCTACCCTGAAATAAACTGAGATAAATTAACTTCAGATATTACTGGCACCTCTGTCCTTTTAAGAGGCTGTCACTTCTGAAGTGTGGATGTAAGGATCTCTTCAGGAAAGTCTGGGTTTGGATTCCTTACTGAACACTGTATATCGTCTTGGATCAAAAGGATTCGAAATAAACTGCAGAGTTCAGTAAAGAATCCAAACTACAAGGTGTCTGAATTGTGAGTATTCATTAAATAAACGTTTATGATTCTTTAATCCAGTCTGCGATTCACTTGTTACTTTGATTGCTACTTACTCACTTTCTGTTAAACAGTATGAAGAAGCTGTTTCAACCAGAAACAGATTTTTTGTAAAAATGCTGCTGTATTGGTTTTGAGAAAGTATGAATAATAAAACTGACCAGAAGACAGATCTCATTTTATTTATAGATTTTTAAAATTATTTTTATTTTCAGGAACGTGACCCTGGCTGGATTGGTGAATTCCATTTCTGAACTTGTGGAATTTACCGCAAGAATTTCCACAGTCGCACTTCAGGTGGAGGCATACAACAGCTTGCTGCTACATTTCATCCTCAACTTCTATGAGACGGTGAGAGAGTTCCCCTTAGAGAAGGTGTTATTAAAAACTATGGAAAGCCTGTGAGAATTAATGTCCTGGAAGGTTGAAATCAGAGTGGCCGAAGGGCCTTCTTCATCCAAAGTACGGGTAGTCTTAACTCCCACTCACAATACTGTGGTAATACCTGCTTCTGGCACCAGAGGCACTGGCAATCCATAAAAAGCTCATTTGACTTATCCATTGACACTAACCAATCTAATATTAACATAGCCGATATATAGGTTTCCGCACCTGCTTGTCCTGTCCTGAACCATTGTTCCAGCACATATTACATCCTGACTGTGTATCCAAGGAGGGCTGTTCAAACTTGTTTGGCAAATAACATTGTCACCCTCAATCTAAAGTTGCACAATATGAAAAAATCAAAATATTTCCTGAATATTATTTAGTAAATTTGTCTTGTGTGAACCTATCACTCCCACCCTCGCCCGACTCCACTGGCTCCCCATCCCTCCTATCTCTCTGACCTGCTGACTCCCTACCAATCTGCCTGCTCCCTCCATTCAGCGGCCTCCGGTCTGCTCCATGTCTCCCGCCCGACCCGTCCTATCATCGGTGGCCACGCTTTCCGCCTCTTTGCCTTACACTCTGGAACTCCATCCCACAGTCCCTTTGCCTCGCTTCCTCCCTTGGCTCCTTCAAGGCTGGTCTCAAGACCCTCCTCTTTGATTGTGTCTTTGGTCGCCCTCCCACCTTTCTGTCTTCCCTCACCCCTCCACCACCCCTTCCCCATGCTCGAATCCCGACCCCTGACTGTTCAGAGCTTTGGGACATCCTCCTGACGTGAAAGGCGCTCTATAAATGCAGTTTTGTTGTTTGTTGTTGTTGTGTTACTTATGGAAGATACTTAATTAGTAATGGCATGCATGTGTTTTCTGACTTCAGTAGAATGCTTTTTGCTTTTAATGTCAAGTTGAAGGTGTGTTCGTGGGTGGAGGTGTTGGCTGTTTGCCCTTAGTTGTCAATATAGTTCAGACTTACTTTGGACTCCTGAAACACGAGACTCAATCAGTGAGAAATGACCTTATACAAGAATAATGTAGTTTATTTAGTTATGTGGATATAACACGTGAAAATTTCCCTGTGTCTGAATTGAAGTGCACACTTGTCCCCTGGAAAAGGCTGCTTACCTGATTTGGGAACGTATTAGGCACAGTTGGTAAGAGTCAAGGACTGAGGGGAGTTAGAGTGTGCACCGGGACTCGAGTTGAACCAGCTAAAACCACACAGTTTGTCATTGAGAACATTTCCTCGCAAGTTTCTCAGCTACGTCCATTTTACCCTTTGGGGCTTCGGCTTGCAGGATTAGCAGGAGCTGTGTGGGAAGAATTCCTACTGCCATGTTTCATAATTGGTGGGAAGCACTGAGTGCAAGTAAATATTGTCCTTGAGTTTGGAGAGTCAGAAGATTATGATTTCACTTTATCACATCACATTTCATACTAATAAACAAGGTACTAAGGCTATGACCAATTTATCTGTAGGATTGTTGGCCAGGACACCGTTCTCTTTTTGAATAGTGTTGTGGGATCTTGAACTTGTAGCTAAAGAACAACAACAAATTGCATTTATTTCATGCTTTTCACGTCGGGGTGACGTCGCAAGGCACTGGAGTATCAAACAGTTTATTTTCCAAGGGAAAGCACCTCTGGTAATGCTGTGATCCTCAGTGCTACACTGAAGAATCAGCTCTGACCTGAAGCCCTGAAGTGGAGCTTGAACTCGTAACCTAACCTGTAGGGGAGAGAGAGCTTCTAACTGAGTCAAACACGTGTATAGTCTAGAAAGAGGGAAAGAGGTTCAGACTATCAACCAAAAGTAGGTTAACCACTTGAGTTCAAATAAATGTTTTCAACTGAGACCCTTTTATTCACATGACATTTTTTCAAACTTCAAACAAATGCTTAGTTGGTTTTCTTTGAGAGTGAAGCAGCTGTAATCACGTCATGGTATAACCACTGAGAGACTTTATTCACCCACAGCTCACACAGATATGGTGATTCACATTCTTTGCTTGACGCACTGTGGTGCTTGTGTCCTCAGGTGTCTGATATGTATTTAAAATACAGTCTGCCGCTGGTGATTATGCCTCCTCCTGGTGTGTTCTACCCCACTCTACTGTGTTTGGAGTCAGTGAGCCTGAATCAGCTATGCTACATCATGAATCGGTGAGTCCTGCAACAACTATTGTTGCTAATTCCACTATAGGAATATTTCTGAGAAACCAATATGTATCTATGTATTATAGGCCTATTTGTGTAAAAGGAAAATGAGTATTAAAAAAAATTGAATGTGGAAGGAGAAATGTTTGAGCCCAAACTAATCACGTGATTAGTTTGTAAAATGGCCAGTGACCGAGTCCACACACTTTTTCGTTTATAGAGGTTGCTTTTCCAAGATGATTCTGGTCACTGTTTAGAAGAACTCCTGGTTGGAGTTCTCTCACCTGTCCTCATTGGCAGGCTTTGTTGCTCGAGGTTTAAAGGAGGACAAGTGAAAATATCTTACAATTTTACATTCTCTTTGGTAACCACTGGGTTACTTCTTCAGAGTTCTGGGTAAAAGAGCAAGTGGCAATGAATAGTTTCACAGTTTCCAATAGTGCAGCTCATTTACATGAATGTGTTCTGCCACTGTTCCATGATCCCAGCTGGAATGAAGCTCAGTGCTTCACACAACCACAGGAACTGTGCAATTTTGATACAACCCAAATCAATAATAATAATAATAATAATCCTTGCATTTGATATAGCGCTTTTCACGTCGGGAGGACGTCCCAAAGCGCTTCACAGAACACACTGTAAAGTGAATTGACTGTATATTTGTGGGCGAACGCGGCAGCCAATTGCGCACAGCAATGTCCCACAAACAGTTGTAGATTGAAAATGACCAATTTATTATTGTTTTTGGTTTTGGAGGGATTATTATTAGGCTCTGTGTGGAGTAAGGAAACTTGCCCAAGGTTTCGCCCTCTGCCTGGAATTGAACTCAGGTCTCTCACTTGCAAAGCGAGTGCTCTAACCACAGAGCTACAGGACTCCACAATGTCTAGGTCTGGTTATTCATTGAAGCCTCTGCACCAAGTTCAGAGTGTACTGGAGCTCAGGTATGTTTTTTTTAAAAAACAATATAATTTCTGAGATGTAACTAAACTCTTCATGTTTGTTTTTTCAGGTACCGCAAAAACCTAATAGCATTGAAGTCTTCAGATGCAAGTAAAAAAGTAAGATAGTTCAAACTGAAGCAACTGCACATTTGAAATGTCAAGAACATTATTTTCCATGCTGGAGTTCAGTGTTTGAGCGATTTGAATGTACGATGTGGCTTCTATGGATTGCCCATCTCAGTTCAAGCTATGATTGGCACTCGTTAAATAATATATTAAAAAAAGAGGATAATGCACAATTAGATTGAAACTAATTTTCACAAATGTGAAACAATCCCTCTATGAGTAAGTAATTATGATTTTTCTCAGAAACTATTGCATGGTTTGTGGTATTTCACCTATTTATGTGATTGGGCTTGCTTTTAAACAATTCTAGAACAATTTATAAACAATTTATGGTGGGAAAACTGTATCTCTTGTATTCTGAAAAATGGTACCTGTAGTTTCCTTACTCTATACATCTCTTGTTTTCCTAGTAGTAAGTAGGAACCAGGCTTGTAGTCGATTGGCAGATCGCTTTCGTGGAGTAATAGTCTCCAAAAAAAAATTTGGTCACTCAATCCATGACACTGCTGTGCACAATTAGCTGCCATGTTTCGCTCACAAATACTCAATCAATGTACTTTACAGTTTATGGTTCGATTCCTATCTCTCTCACCATCTCCACTTTGTTGCCTCTAACGGTTTCTCTTCCAGGCCGCGCACTGTCACGACTGGCATCCCCCAGGGCTCTGTCCTTGGCCCTCTCCTCTTTAATATCTACAAGCTCCCGCTTGGTGACATCATCCGCAGATATGGGGTCAACTTCCACATGTGTGCGGATGACACCCAACTCTATCTTTCTGCCTCCAACTTCAACTCCAGGACCATTGCTGTCCTGACAGACTGTGGTCGGACATCAAGTCCTGGATGAGGGCAAACTTCCTACAGTTGAATGTGAACAAGACTGAGGCCCTCCTGATTGGCTCGCGCCAGCGCCTCCGCACCTCAGGCTCTGGCAACATCAACCTCCATGGTTGCATACTACAACTCACCAGTCAGTCAGGAACCTGGGTGTCTTGTTCGACCCTCAGCTGTCTTTTATTCCCCACATAAGCCATGACCCGCTCTGCCTTCCCTCACCTCCGTAACATCGCCCGACTCCGCCACTACCTCACCCTCAGGCCACTGAAACTCTTGTTCACGCCTTCATCACCTCCAGGCTCGACTATGCAAACGCCCTGTTTGTCGGCCTTCCCAACTCCTCCCTCCACAGCTGCAGATAATCCAGAACTCTGCAGCCCGTGTTCTCTCCCGCACCAAACTCTGTTACCCCATCTCCCCCGACTCCACTGGCTCCCTATCCTTCAGAGGATCCAGTTCAGGATCCTGGTCCTCACCTACAAAGCACTCCATGGCCTCACCCCACCCTATTTCAGTGACCTCCTAACCCTCTACCCGTTCCATCCGCTCAGCCGGCTCTGGCCTGTTCCACGTCCCCCGACCCACCCGCCCCACCATTGGCGGGAGAGCCTTCAGCCACTCTGCCCCCAATCTCTGGAATCCCATCCCTCAGTCACTCCGCCTCGCCCGCTTCTTAGCCTCCTTCAAGTCCCACCTCAAGACCCTCCTCTTCGAACATGCCATCGGCCACCCTCCCTTCCCCGCCCAACCGCAGCTCGGTTCTGAAATGCTGTACTCTGTCCAGCACCTTGGGACCTCCTCCTGGCGTGAAAGGCGCTGTACAAATGTAATCTTGTTGTTGTATTCTGTGAAGCGCTTTGAGATGTCAACAATGTGATAAGGTGCTGTATCAAATGCAAGGATTATTATATTATTATCTGACTGCTTTTTCTAGAACTAGAACATTTTTACCAGAGAGTTTAGAATATATTGTAGAAGAACGCAATGAATCAATAGTTCTGTTACCTTTAACAACTGTTCAAATGTGTTTTTAGGCTCAAATAGGTTTGAAAGTGAACAGTAGGACATTTCATCAATACAACACTTGTGTAAAAGCTATTGTAGGATGTTTGTGGACATCCAGAGTCTTTGCACAAGACAGCCATCTGATGGGAATTGGGATTGTAAATGATGTCCTGGCCCACATTGGGGACAAAGACTACAAGAACAGCTTTACTATTGTTAATCACCCTGCACTTGTGGGACATGCCTTAAATTTCATCCAGAAGGTAAGCTTGTGTAAACTGTGAATCTGCTCCGTTCAAGTGCTTAGAATCATCATAGCTGTTACTCGGGTGCATTGATCTGTTTTTTTCCAGTGGGTTTTATTCTATATGTGCCAGTGGAGCTCCACAACTATTCAGAGCAACTTTGGCAACCAGTACCTTGCAGTCAGGAGTGGTATTAAATGGGTTGTGCTGCCTATCTCTTTAACAGTAAGTAATCCAGATCTAAACTGCAAGGGGACGTTTGCTGTAATGTTAATTCTCAAAAAGAGGAAACAAATCTGCTCGAGAACAGGTCTGTTCTGGAAAAGGCCTTTATTCAGTTAGTAATTGACAGTATATTTGAGATATACCTGTGAAATGCAGCACAATAACTCTTAAAGAGAAGTAAGATACAGTGGCTGACAGTTGAGGAAATCCTTTAACTCTGTCCTACCACCTTGGCCTCTCTTTATATTTAAATCCACCTGAAAACCTAGCTCTTCAGTGGAATCTGTGGACACCTTCCCTTCTCCCTTGCTCAGCATCCAATCCTGCCACTGTACAGCGCTAGAAGATGTTCTAAGTAAAAGGCATTATGTAAAATACAAGTTGTTGTTCAATCACAATCCCTCAAAAAGCTTTGCGAGTTTTTCTGCTGCCTGATGGAGCAATGATCTGAGGTGGGTTGATGTACTTGCCTCGTCCGTTTCAGTGTGAATGGTGCTATTGGAGGGGAAACTCCAATTTCATAAGACTCAGGTTAAAACAATTGTTCAAAATATACAAGTGGTATAACATGTATGGTGCAGCCTCCCTTTCTTCTAATTTCTACTTCAAACTTGATGGCTTTCATGCTGACAGATAGATGAACAATGACACTTCCAAATGAGTTGTTTGTTTGACTAATGCTCCCATTATTGAACTCTCTTCCAGGGGTGGCCGAATGAAAAGAAGCGATTGTGGACAATTAAGGTATATTTAAAGCTGATTTTCTGTGAGCTTTTTTTGTCTTTAATTTCGAGGACTTGCAACATGCGCGTCAATCTGTTAAAGTTAACAACATATTACCCACCGCTGGAAGTGCTGGCAGTACCAAAAGCTTCATTAAGATTGCTGTTTGTATGTATGTGTATCGTGAATTTTTCCAGAATGTTGGTTGTGAGGATTTGTTCTTCATTTGAAATATATTTTACACTGCATTCCTGATTAACTTGCAAAAATTCTAGGTGAAGGAAAATTTATGCAAGTCTTTTGCTTTTAAAGGGATTTATCCACTTACTGTGGACTTGCTTGTTGAGCAGCAAGTATAACCTGCCGAAATCAAACATGTTCAAACGTGCACCTAATTGATGTATCTGACATTCCCCAACCTTCTCTCTTTATTATCCCAGACCACAATTACTGTCTTCCCCACATGATGCTCGTACTGAGCAATTCATGTGCAAACGCACCACTTATGTTATTATTTGTCCGAGAAACCTGTCTCTTATTCAGTTACAGGTTTGAATGTATGTGCATTTGTTCTAAGAACCAGCACTTTTTGACCTCCTTCGACTGCCAACAGCTGCAAGTTGCAGGTGCTCTAGGTCGGTCTTTGTTTCTGTGGAACAATATGCTGGCTGAAAACTAAACACTAACATTACAGCAGTAGCTTTATTTCAGAATGTTTACCCCATCCCAAAAATCCTAACAGATTAGATCTAGTTTTAAAATAATTAACTTTGTCTTCCCCTTTTTGTAGTTATGACCAAAACATCTATTTTGTTTGCCTGTAATCTTTGGAGATCGATCCAGTCCAGTTCACTAAGGCTTTGGTGTGTTACAGTTAGTAAAAAACATCTGCAGGGGGAAGAAGGATAAAATGGAACTCTACTGTAAAGAAATGTATAATATAATGCAAATTACTGAAACACTTTAATTCTGCAGTCAAACTGTTTAAGGTTTGCAAGTGACCAAACATACCAGAATCCTAAAAGTGGAGTATTTATTAATGCTGTGGGATGTGTAATGTAGAAAACATCCCAGATTCCCTTTTTGTGTCACGTAAGTAACTGCACTCCTGATCAGCTTTAACCTGTGTTCTCCTTTGCTCATCAGGGGAAGGTGTGGAATTGGTATATGGAGTACTTGGGTGACAAAGGACTTGATGGAGTTACTGATTTCCTTGAGTGCAGCATCACCAGATTGTCCAGCACAGAACATTGACGTGCAAGGCTTTGCTGCAATGAACTGCACTATCAGGACCATCCTGAGACTTCCCAGCTTTAATCTGCTTCTGCTTAAGACACTAGCTCCTTAAGCGTTTCCTAATAACTGTAGACGCTGTGAATGAGATGGCAGAATGGATGAGTTATGTAGAGGATTCCAAGTGTTTTCAGAAAGGAATTGGACCAAAGTGACAAGAATAGGACAAGAAAGCAAAGTGTCTGTGTGTTACACAGAGCACATCAGTGGTGCACATCCTGCTGCACAGTTTGTGTTTTCCAGGAGCAAGCAGAATATTCTATTAATATAATGCCTCAGATTAAACTCTTCTGTGTTCATTCAGCACAAGCTGAGAAAGGTGTCACACCAAAGCACCAGCATTAACAAACAAGATGTGAAATACTTTGCGATGTGTAAGAAATGTGAAGAGGTGAAGATGAAAGCTGGAAGACATGTCGGACTTGTTTGGGTCTGTGAGGAGAATGAGGAGGAGAAGAGAGATGATCATTGTGTGGATGACTAACTTCCTGTAAACCATGATTTTAAATACACTTTCAATGAAATATTGGTGTTGTACAGATTTAGGGCTGCAGCAATCTTATATTGTATTTCCTTTCCCAGATATGTGGCTCAGTGTATTAACACACAGATATGCTACAACAAGTTAAAGTAAATGGATAGTCCCAAAGGTTTTGGAGGCTATTCATCACTGTACTGCTGCCAGAGTACAAATCGCATCCCTGCTCTAGGTACAGCTGTATAATGGCTGGCCTTCTGAATACATAAACGCTTCTTTATCAATTTTAAACCGGGTATGGGGGGATGTAATGATTTTTTTGAGTAGTTGTAAATTTCTTTAGCTACTGAATAGTATTGATTTGTTGCAACCGATTCATGCATTTTTAAAACTTGGTTAGATGTAGAGAAACACAACTAACCAAACAACGTGTCGTGTGTGTGTGTGTGTTCATAGCAGCTCATGCACTGAGCTGGTTCAAATGAATTCCCTTGGCGTATCCTGTGTTAAGTTCTGGCTATTTTTTTTTCAAAGCTTTATCTAATTTCATTATGTTGTAAATTCCTTACTTCATTATTTTTGACAAGTGTTGTATGGGAACAGTATTAGCATTTACTGATAGAATTCCTAACACTGATTCTAACAATTAAAAATGTACAATTGGAAACTCTTTGGAGAGAAAATAATTTTGAGTACAATTACGAGATAGCCACTCTCGAGAGTTTGGGCTATTTTAAATGAGGTTAAAATAGCAGTTGCAGCCTGAATCCATTTCCGAGGCTGACCATTATCACTGTGATTGATAGGGAGGAATGGGTGGGACTACTTTACCACAGACAGAAAACAAAGGGATCAAAAGGTTGGTTGCACAGGACTCGGTATTGCTTTCAATAAAGTTATTCCTTTGTGCCATCAGGAGCTTGCATTCACTTTCACTTCACTAATTTGTGTTTTGCTTTCAGCTGAGCTTTCAGCCCTTGTGTCCCCATTTGCCTGGAACTCTGGAGTCCCTCTGTCTCATCCTCCGTTCCCCGCTTTCAAAGCCAACATTAAGACTCACCTGTTTGATCACTCTTCCGGTTATCTTTTCTCTCGACCCCCTCCCTCCACTTCAGCTTCCTCTTTCCTTTAAAGGAAAATTAAATTCCTCTTTTATTGGGCCCTTTGTTGGTGTTGGTGTAAGTGAAAGGCGCTATACAAATGTAATCTTCTTGTTGAAGCCCAGTTTGACTTGCGCACTCGGTTTCTTACTGGGACAGTATTACACCCATTCTTTCCTCACGACCCACCTTGACAAGGCAGTGTTGTGCAAGAATATCAATTGTGACACTGTTCAAACAGTGCCCCTGGAGAGGGGATTGCTGCATTAGTACTTCAGTTTATAATGGGGAAATGCTGCTTATGCAATCTACTATCCTTTGACATGGCCAAACCAATAAATAGGTCTAATGTGCCAACCTCTGATGGGATTCCTGAAGGAAACCAGGCTCATTGGAACTCCACTCCGACTTCAAAAAGCTGAAAGTTTTTCCAGATACAAGTTCTACGAATATTTTTTTTCTGGTCAAATGGGGTGGGGAGGAATTATGGCAGGAAATGGGGGCTTTTCACCTCTTTCTCCTGCCATACATAATAGAGATTAGATAAAAAATAAAGTTCCTTCTGTCTTGCTCCACCCAACACTCGAAACATTGAATTATTTCATTTTTCACAGTGCCCTGTGAGTGAGATTGCCAGTTCCAAGCCAAGTAATTGGTGTCTGTGCTGCTGCTTTGCACCTGTTGGTAAATAGAAAAATGTACAGCAATACGAGGAGAAATGCAAAACATGGTTAGACATTTTATAACTCCTTTAATTCTGGCAATGACTTAAAATTTTAAATTGGAACTTAGAGTACAATAATCTTTAAAATGTTTTTATTCTAAATTGACCAACCATCTTGATATCATCCCTCATCTGAGAGTTTTCAACAGACTAAATTATAGAATGTGACTTGGGATTGCAGGGTTAGACCGTGTGAATTGATAGCAGAGGCTATTAAAACTGGAATAAATCATTCAGTGCCTGGAAAGCTAACCTAGCGCACTCCTCCACCCAGCTGTCGCTTTCAATAAACCTATGAAGCCCCATTCACTATAAATGTTTGTACAGAGAGCAATTAAAATATAAAGTCGAGAAATGGACAGGTTATTTGTAGAGGAGAGGCCAGGCCTATTCTCGTTTCAGTGAACTGATACACACTGTATGAACGTGTCATGTTTTTGAACAGCAGTGGTAGATCGAATAGGGAGATTAGGAGTAACTTCATCACGAGAATGTGGAACTCTGGTATCAGATGTGATGTAAATTGAAGGGTTCAATCTAAATACGCTCTAAAAGGTGGCAAGAAGTTTAATTCCAACCAATCTTGTCTGGTGCTGAGTAATTGTACAAGAGTATGTGTCTCGGGCACTGGCAGCATCAGCATTCACTCCACCTCCCCAAGCCAGTCAGGAAGGTGGGCGTCTAGTTCGACCCTCAACTGTCCTTTCTCCCCCATATCCGTGCCTTGACCCGCTCTGCTTTCCCCCACCTCCACAACATTGTCTGACCTGCCACTGCCTCACTCCTCAGGCCACCGAAACCCTCATAAACACATTCGTCACCTCAAGGCTCGACTACGGAAACTTCCTTCTTGTCGGCCTCCCCAACTCTTCCCTCCACAAGCTGTAGATCATCCAGAACACTGCAACTCATGTCCTCTCCCGCACAGGCTCTGTGCCCCCATTACCTCCACCCCCACCCGGCTCCACTGGCTCCCCATCCTTCAGGATAGAATTCAAAATCCGTGACCTCACTTTCAAGGTCCTCCATGGCCTTGCCCCCCTCCTACATTTCTGACCTACTAACCCCCATCAACCTGTCCATTCCCTCCCCTCCGGCCTGCTCCATGTCTCCCGCCCAATCTGTCCTACCATCGGCGGTTGGGTTTTCAGCTTCTCTGCCCCACCCTTTGGAACTCCACCCCTCAATCCCTTCGCCTTGCTCCCTCCCTGGTCTCCTTCAAGGCACAACTCAAGATCCTCCTTTTCAACCGTGACTACCCTCCTACCTCTCTGCCCTCCCTCACCCCAATGCTGCCACCCCCCTCCCCCCCCCCCCCCCCCCCCACCCTTGGGTCCTGATCCCTGACTATTCAGCGCCTTCGGACGTCCTCCTGACGTGAAAGACGCGTTACACATGTAATTTTGTTGTTGTTGCTTTAATTGGATGTATAATTTATATACATATATAGAGAGGGAATACTTGCATCTGATATTATCACATCGTTGAGACATCACAAACAGCTTCAGAGGATATACTGTATTGCGGTGCGATTTGTGGGTGAACACAGCAGTCAATTTGCACACAGCAATAACCCACAGACAGAGAGGAAGTTTTCTTTGACCTACATAACTTAAAAACATCTACTGAATCAAAGTTGCTGTAATAAGAGGATGTGTAAAATATACTGCATACAATGGCATGATTCCCAAATAGAGTTCTGTTCCTATGTACTTTTATATATCATGGGTAGGTCATTCAGCCCCCTAAGCCTGTTCCACCATTCTATTAGATCTTGGCTAATCTGTACCTCAACTCTAATTTCTCTGACCTAAAATATCTATCCACCTCAGTCTTGAAAGTGTGAATGGATCCAATATCCACAGCCTTTTGGAGGAGAGAGTTCCAGATTTCCACTAACTATTGTGCGAAAAAATGCTTCCTGATTTCACTCCTAAATGGCCGAGCTCTAATTTTAAAATGATGTCCCCTTGTTCTGGATTCCTCCAGCAGAGGAAATAGTTTATCTGTAGCTAAGTGTAGTAAATTGAAGTGAAAAGTCCTTTTCATTATTAGATAAGAAACAGGAGTAGGCCATTCAGCCCCTCAAGCCTGTTCTGCCATTCTATAAGATCATCCCTGATCTGTACCTCAAGTCCAATTACCTGCCTTTGCCCCCTATCCCTTAATACCCTGAGCCAACAAATAGCTATCCTCCTCAGTCTTGAATTATTAGAATTGTGTTGAGATTATTTTGAATTGAAGCAAAAGCTTTTCTTTTGATATAGATTTTAAATAACTGCAATAAATTAAAACTTACCAACAACCGAGCACGTGAGGAGTTAACAATGGTTTTATTTCTGATTTTTAGTGCATGACGGAAATTATGCTAATTGACATGGATCACAGAGCACAGAGGGCAGGGCTTGAGCTCATGAGCTCAAATGGGAACAGCAAAGCACAGTGCGGTGTTCTTTCATTCTTCAAACTGGTTTTGAGTCCAGTCTTCACTGATGAATGAATGTTCCTGGGGGCAGGGAATCATCCCACTCAGCTCCTGTTAACCCTGCAAGCCAAAGCCCTAACAGGTAGGGTGGTCCTTGCTGGACAAACAGCGGGAAAGCTTGCCAGACAGCAAAATCAATGCAAGCTGCACGGTTATAGCTGGTCAGACTCCAGCAGTTACCCTATTCCACACTCTGGGGTCCCCCAGCCCCAACTGCACCTAATAATTTCCGGAATTAGGTAAGCAGAAGTCATCCCTTTGGGGAGAGAGTGCTTATTCCATTCCAAAAATCTCTGGAATTTGCATGTGTTCCAGTTCAAATAACAACCGGGTTCCTACTTACTGGTCGGTAAACAGACGTGTGGAATACGGAAACCTGCCCAATGTTTTGCTCTGTCGGGAATCAAACACAGGTCGCCTCGTTTGCAAGGAGAGTGCTCTAACTACTGAGTTACAGGACTCCATTATTCACGTGTGGGTTGAGTAGAGATCGTGCCCTTAATCTGGGGGAATTTCTGATTGATTTATTAAACTGGGATCATGTCTGTCTGCCAATAACACAAAAAACTTTTGACTCAGAAACATGATTTATACCTCATCAGAAAGGTCTTGCATGGGGGAGCTTCATAGGCATATTTTTTGGGGGGGATCTCTTATTGTTGATGAGCTATATTAAAAAAAATTAAAATGTTTTAATTAAGCCCCCAAAAAGGTATGCATGGTATTCTGCAACAAAATAGCGACATCCTTCTAGAGAGATACATCTATACTAATAAAGACAAAGTGTCTGTCTGTGTGATGTAGAGACGTGATTTGTGCCTCATCGGAACGATCTTACAAGGTGGAGTGTCATGGGCATATTTTTTTCAGGGATCTCCTATCGTGATCTAAACCCAGTTCATCACACATGTGTGGACTCCAACAAGGAGTCCTACCAACACGAGTCCTCCAATAGGAGTCCTACCGCAGCAGTCCTCTCAACAGTAGTCCTCCCACTGAGTCTTCCCACTGAATCCTAACAGTAGGGAGTTATCTCCCAATTACCCTGACTTGCTTCCATCTCTTATCCAAATATGGCTATAATCTCACCCTTCTTTTCTGATTCCTCCTTGGATAAACCCCCTTCATAAAATGAATAAATAAATACGTAATTTGGTCACTCAATCCGCGACTGTTTGTGGAATGCTGAGCAATTGTGCACAATTCGCTGCCGCCTTTCGCCCACAAAATATACAGTCAAAACATAAGTGCGCCGAGCCATCCAGTGTGAAGGGCGCTATATAAAT